GACGTGGGCATGTGTGAGTAGAGGGGCTCCGTACAATAGCTGCCCCTCCTTTTTTGGTTGCACTGCCCCAGTCTCCCTGCAAATAGAGTTTAATTACAGTTCTTCCTACTCCTTCCTACCACATCATTGCTTCCAATGGATGCGGGAATTAGAGTGGGGGAAAATATTGGGGTGAAGCCAGAGGCCTGGGGGTGAAAGAATTCACCAGAGACAGAGGGGAGAACAGAAAAGGTGGATTTATTGAAATACACTGCAGAGGGGAGCAGTGGGGGAGACGGGAGAAGACTGCACCTGAAGGAGGATTTGAGGCTCTTTTATACTCTTTTCTGGAGTTTTCTAACTTGGGGCACCACATTATACCAGTTATCTGCTGGGCTGTCCCAGCAGGCGCTGGCCTTTGACACAGAAACATGCCCGGGGCTTGGGTCTGCTGTCCTGCAGCTGAGCTGGTTTGTCTGGTCCCGGTGGTCCCAGCTTCTGACCCGTCCCCAAGGCAACCTTATCAATTCCCGTATCCATTTAAGCATCCCAGACCTGCCTGCTGGGCAAGGTGTGGGGGCTTAGCTTTTAACCTTATGAAATGGTACCCCCACAGTAAGTATCTGTTTATCCTCAGGTGTTGTGGACTTTGTTCTCTTATGATTAAGTTGTGAATATGTGGGGGGAGAACCCCGTTTCTGCCATTGGTGAGTTTGAAGCAGAGAAGGGCTGGGCTCTGACATTCTGTTTTTTTGTTTTGTTTTGGGCAAAGATAGGTAAATTGTGACTTCTGTTCCCAAGGAGAGGCTTATGGCGGAGGTGAGTCACCTGAACTTTGAGACCTTGGTGAGGCAGGATGGGCCGGGGAAAGGTGGGGGTGGCATGCCAGAACATACCAGAGCAAAGGTGAGGTGGTTGGATGCCAAGGTACACTTGCAAAATGCCCAGGAGCACGGTGGGGAAAAGTGAGGGAGTGAGATGCATGAGGAGGCCAGGAGTATGGACTGTGGCATCCCAGGGAGCTGGTTGGGGACTCCTGCATGAGGTCAAGACAGTCTGGTTCAGGGGCCTCCCTGGTGGCCTAGGGGTTAGTCTCAGCACTAGCACCACTATAGCCTGAGTTCGATCCCTGCCAGGGAGCTGACTCACAATGCGCAGCAGCCCTCTCCTGTCTCCCCGCTGCTCCCCTCAGCAGTGGATTTCAGTGGGTCCTCCTGTTCTGCTCCCCACTCTGTCTCTTACCCCTGCACCTCTGGCCTACACCCCAGTTCCTCTACACACACACACACCCACACACACCATACTCTTGTTCAACCCCACCTCCAGATCCTTATACGCTGCGTGTCCTTGAGTGGGTGACTTAATCTCTGGGGCTTCCTCCTTTATGGGAAAACCAGCTGTTGAAAGGATTACAAAAGAAAAAAAAAAAAGGTGACCTAGAATAACCAAGCGTGTTCTGCACACCTTCTCTCCTGTGTTTACCTTGGAAGTCACTTGAAACCACTCCTGATGGAGGCTGCACGTCGTCAGCCTCCGTCTCTGCTGGCCCCACTCTCCATTTCTGCTGCCACTTGACACACGTTCCCATCCCCCACGCTTCTCCTGTCCCCTCTTATGCCTTAGCACTCAGCACCATGTAGCTCACCAGACATTCCACCTATTCATCTGAATGACTATGACCCCCACTACAGAGCAGGAATCTTCGTCTGTCCTGCTCACAGGCTATTTCCAGCACATAGCAGGATCTCAATAAACATGGCTGGTTGAATGACAGAAGGAGTCCCCAGATGGCGGGGTCTTAGCATTATGTGAAAAGATAAATTAAAAAAAAAACCAAAATGATGAAGTTTGATTTTCACAAGTATGTGATGAGTGTGTGTCCAAGACTAACTAATTCATAAACTAACAAAAGAAACAGTGATTTACCCAGACTGATCCACCTGTCTCTGCTCCGTGGGCCTCCTCCAGGTCTCCTGATCTCCCTCCTTCCTCTCCCTGTGCTCTCCAGCTTCTCCTCCCTGCTCAGCTCCACCCTCCCTTGGTGGGACAGGGGACCTGGGACCTCCACTTTTCCTGGGACAACCCTGTCATGGGGGGACAGTCAGGTAAGTGCAGCACTGACCCAGGCCAGGTCACTATTTTCCCTCATCTGGGCTGGCCAGGTAACCAGCAGCCGTGTACAGCCACTGCGCCCTGGCGATGTGGCTGCTATTACTGAGGAACTGAATTTGTTTTTTAAAGATTTATTTATTTATTTATTTATTTATTTATTTTTAAAATAGAGGCATGTTATTTATTTATTTTGTTTGTTTGCTTGTTTGTTTGTTTATACATGCACTGGGTACAGTCAGAAGCGCGGGAGGGTGAGAGAATTCACCAGAGCCAGAGCAGGGAGCAGAGCAGGCAGAAGGACCGGAGTACACTGCTGAGGGGAGCAGCGGGTGGCAGGAGAGGTCTGCGCGCCATGCGGGACCCTCCTCCGGTGGCCGGGGAGCAGCCGGGGATCGAACCAGCGCTGCAGAGGCTGCGGGCAGCTTCGCAACCCAGCGCTCAACAGCTGCACCACCGGGGAGGCCCCAAGATTTATTTTTATACAAGAACTGGGGAATAGGCCAGAGGCGTGGGAGGGTGAGAGGATTCACCAGAGACAGAGCGGGGAGCAGAACAGCAGACAGACTAAAAGCACTGCTGAGGGGAGCAGTGGGCGCGACAGGAGAGGTCTGCCGTGCCATGTGGGTTTCTCCCTGGCTGGCCAGAAATCAAACCCACACTGCAGAGGCTGCGGACAGCTTCACAGCACTGAGTTCAACCCGCTGCACCACCGGGGAGGCCCAAGGAACTGAATTTTAAATTTAATTTTAATTTATTATAATCCGTAAACAAGCCAGATCTGGTCCCAAGACGACCTTCCTGTGTCTATGCTGGTGCCTCTCTCTTTTTCCTTTCTCCTTTTCCTAATAAACCTGTCCTTTAAAAATGTACTAATGGGGGCCTCCCCCGTGGCGCAGCGGTTGAGCGCTGGGTTGCGAAGCCGCCCGTAGCTTCTGCCGTGCTGGTTCGATCCCCAGCTGCTCCCCGGCCACCGGAGGAGGGTCCCACATGGCGCGCAGACCTCTCCTGCCGCCCGCTGCTCCCCTCAGCAGTGTACTTCGGTCCTTCTGCCTGCTCTGCTCCCCGCTCTGGTGAGTTCTCTCACCCTCCCGCGCCTCTGACTGTACCCAGTGCTTGTATGTATGTATGCATGTATCAATCAGTCAATCAATCAATCAATAAATAAATCTTTAAAAAAAATGTACTAATGGGCCTCCCCAGTGGTGCAAGGGGTTAAGTCTCAGCACTATGAAGCATGAGTTCGGTCCCCAGCCAGGGAGCTGACACCCATGGCGCAGTAGACCAGTCTTGCCCGCTGCTCCCCTCAGCAGTGTACTTCAGTCAGTCTGCCTGTTCTGTTCCCCGCTCTGTCTCTGGTGAATCCTCTCACCTCCCCCCACACACACCCCTCCGGCCTGTGCCCCAGCTCTTCTATGCATAAATAAATCTTAAAAAAAAAATAAAAGTACTAGAAAATATGAAGTAACTCACATTTATTTCTCTCTCTCTCTCTCTCTCTTTTTTTTTTTAAAGATTTATTTATTTATTTATACAAGCACGGGGTACAGTCAGAAGCGCGGGAGGGTGAGAGAATTCACCAGAGCCAGAGCAGGGAGCAGAGCAGGCAGAAGGACCGAAGTACACTGCTGAGGGGAGCAGCGGGCGGCAGGAGAGGTCTGCGCGCCATGTGGGACCATCTTCTGGTGGCCGGGGAGCAGCCGGGGATTGAACCGGGGCCGCAGAGGCCGCGGGCAGCTTCGCAACCCAGCGCTCAACCACTGCGCCACCGGGGAGGCCCTATTTCTCTCTCTTTTTTGAGAGTATTCTTTTTTAAATTGACCTATAACTTACACAACATTGTATGAGTTAAAGTGTTGATTCGATACAGCTACATACTGCAATATGATTACCACTGTAGTTACACCTCTATCAGGTCACAGAATTAGCTATTTGTGTATGGAGGACATTCTGAAGAAGACATTCAAACAGAAGGACATTCTGTTTCTATTGGGAATTGTTCTATACCGGAGTCTAAGGAAGCTTTCCCCCCCCATTTTTAAAATATAAAACATATAAAATTTACATGTGCAGTTAAAGAATAGACATTTACAACCACTGGGCTTACAACACAGTTGGCTTCAACCACCTGTTGAAGTCCCTTCCGTGTGCACATCCCCACGTGCTTACCATTTCTACTCTCCCAACAGAACCACAATGCTGACCATGTCTCCCACTTTTCCTTTTAATTGTATCACATTGGGCGAATCCCAAATAACAATCAGCTAGTTTATTTTGGTTTTGAATTTTGTAAAAATGGCAGTATACTGTAGGTATTTACTGACACTGTTTTCTTTGCATGGGCTTATCCGGAGGCCATTATGTGAATGGGTGTCACTTAGGTGTGCTCCTTTTCACTGCTGTATAATATTCCACAGTGTGAATCTATACAAAAACACCAGTCTATTGTAATTGATGCATATTTTTTTAATTTTTTAAAAGATTTATTTATTTATGCATACAAGAACTGGGGTACAGGCCAGAGATATGGAGGGTGAGAGGATTCACCAGAGACAGAGTGGGAAACAGAACGGGCAGACTTAAGAATCCAAGAAGATTCTTAAGAGTAGGGATCTTTGGATCAGGGGCGCAGCCCCAGTGCCCTGAGCAGGGGAGCTGCCTAATCAGCTTTTGATTGCCACTATCCCACTGGTTGACAGGGGCCCGGTACGCCAGGACCCTATGTGCCTCCCAAATTTCAGTGTTCCAGGCCCAGGTTCCCAACAATCCTGTATTCCAGGCTTAGCCTCCAGCCTCGGAATCTGGGTGACCGAATCCTATCCCCTCATTCAGACTTCAGAATCTGAGCTCTGCGTATTCAGGTTCTGGAATCCCCTTCCCCCTCCCCCCCATTCTAAGTTCCAGAACTTCCCCTCGCCGGCCCCCATCCCATTCAGGCTCCGGAATCCCGGACCCAGATCCAGACTCCCAGCCCCCCAAGATCCCAGGATGTGGGACTCCGTCCGCCTGCCCCTGCTCCCCCAGCCAACGCCCCCACTCCAGGCTCCGGAATGCGACCCAGGCTGGGAGCCAGCAGAAACCGTTAGTCTGAGATTTTGAAAAATCTGGCGCTAAACTCGGGCGTGGAACGGGGGTGGCGGCGCAGGGTGGGGTGGGAACCCGGCGGGTCTGGGCCATGCTGGGCGCAAGGACTTCTCGCCCACAGCGGGACCCTCCTGCTCTTAAAGCAGACGCAACTGGCCATTAACTTTCCAGCACCCTGGGGTCAGAGGGTCCTAGATTCGACGCCTGGGCGCAGGGAGAGGGGTTTCTGGAAACCCTTTCTGGACTCCCGCGGCGCCTCAACGTGCCGTCTGGAAACGAGCGCGGAGCCCTCGACGGGACCCCGCTTTGCCTGCGCCCAGACCTCGAGCTCTCGGAGCGCCCGCCCGCGAGCGCCGGGAGGGGGGCGGGGGGGCGGGGGCGCCCCAGCTGTCACCACCTGGGAAGCTCAGCGCCAAAATTTAAAAATTGCCAACGCCTCCAAACCGAGCGCGGGGATCCGGAGCTCCGCGTCCCACCCACGGGAAGTGCAAGGCTTTCTGGGACTTGGAGTCCAGCCCCCGGGGGTCCGGCACCCGGGAGGGGGTTCCGGGCGCTCTGATTCCCCGCCCAGCTCTGAGAAATCAGGGCCAGAAAGTAGGGTCAAGACTCCACTTGACAGAGGGGAAGACCCAGAGCCAGGTCTACTTGTCAGGTGGGGAGCAGCACTTCTGCCAGGGAACAGCACAGGCAAAAAGTCTGGGAGGCGGATGGGACATCTGAGCGCCCAAAGGGGCAGTGCAGTGAATCGGGGGCACCCACAGGGATCAGGTGGCCTGGCGATGGTCCGCGAGGGCTTTGATGAGGTAGGGGTTGCAGCTAAATCTGGGGGCCTCCCTGGTGGCGCAAGGGGTTATGTCTCAGCCCTATCAAGCTATCGCCAGCCACTGCAGCACAAGTTTCATCCCCTGTCAGGGAGAAGCCCACATGGCGCAGCAGACCTCTCCTGTCTCCCTGCTGCTCCCCTCAGCAGTGTATTGCAGTAGATCCACCTGTTCTGCTCCCCACTCTGTCTCTGGTGAATCCTCTCACCTCTCCACACCTCTTCCCAACCTCCCAGCTCTGGTATGCATAAATAAAATAAAAATAAATCTTCAAATCTGGGGGGGGTGGAAGGTAGAAGAGGTGCACCATGCCACCCCAAACCTCTATCCTTTTCCTCCTCTGGTGCTGCCTCCTGTAGTATCACTTACTCATATTTTGCTTTTAGTCCCCTTGTGTATTGCCAGCTGTCTTTTATGTTGGATATTTCGACCAGTATGAGAGCCTGAAAACAGCCCAGGACACATGGTCACTTTTAGAAGATCAAAGGGACTCTGGACTATCTGGGGTCTAAGGGGGAGGACCCCAGCTTCTGATAAGTGAGTAATATTAGCAATTAGTATCAGGTGTTCCAGACAGGTGACTACAAGTGGATCCCATCCATGGGGGTCAGTTCTCAGAGGCTGTGTAAGGAGTCACAATCTCCATTTGCCATTTGCTGAGGTTCTTGGAGGAAGCTGTTTGAGCCAAGTATCCCAAGGGGGGCACAAAGGGAGGAGAGGTTCTCCAGGCAGAAATAACACCTGGTGAGTTACAAGGCGAAAGGAAACAAGGGATTCTCAACTGGGGGCGATCCTCCCTCCCACCCCCCAGGTAAATTATAGCCATATCGGAAGACATTTTCCATTGTCTGGATTGGAGGCAGGTGCTGATGCTACTGGCATCAAGCGTGCGGATGTGGGATTGAGGGGGGTGGGGGAGAGCCATGCCCTGCCTACTGCTTAACACCCTGTGACCAGATCCCCTAGACTAAAAATTCGGAATAAGTGAAATTAAACTCTAAGCCTTGTACCCTCTCTTCCCTACACCGTCCTCCTGATGAACTATTAACTGGTACGAACTGCATTCGAGGGGCATCATCGGAAACAAACATCTACTGATTGCTGAGAAAACACCCTACTGGGAAAGTTAACCCCCCCCTCCTGCTGTCTAGACCGCCTGCACCTCCTCCTCGGACCTGGAAATGAGAAGCCCCACACTTCCCTCACATTCCTTCTCCCCTTGCATTGTGTAATCACTGAGCTCCTGCCATTCCAGGAGCTAGATTTTTGGGGGGTGCCTATCCTGCTGACTCCCTTGATGGCCATTTCCAATAAACTCTTTTGTGTAAGGACATACTCCTGGTGCAGTTTGTTTTACTGGGTGCGAGCAAAAGGCCCAGTGATGTCGTTTACACCTTGGGAGAAATCCAGCTCTATAAATTTTCCTGTTCTGGACATTCCATGTAAGTGAAATCACACACTCTATGTGGCTTGTTGGGTCAACATGTTTTTGAGGTTCCTTCACCACCTTTATTTCTAATAAGGGGGGGAAGGAGGCGACACGGCTGGGGGAAGCAGCCCGGTGTCACAGAGTGGCTGAGTTGTTCTGACGCCAGGCGGTTGGGCCGGCGATGCTGCACCTCCCTGGAGCCGAGCAACGTAGAGTGGCGAAGGGGCGGGGACTACAACTCCCGGGGTGCCCCGCGCGGCCCGCCGGACTACAAGTTCCAGGCAGCCCCGCGGCGGCAGGCGCGGGCGGGCGGCGGCGCCATCTTGAACGGCGGCGCGGATTGAATGAGCCCGCCGAGCGGCCGCCGTCCGGAGCCGCGCAGGCCTCGAGCTGCAGCCGCCGCCGCCGCCGCTGCCATGGCCACGCCGCTGCCCGGCCGCGCGGGCGGGCCCGCCACGCCGCTGTCGCCCACGCGCCTGTCGCGGCTGCAGGAGAAGGAAGAGCTCCGCGAGCTCAATGACCGCCTGGCGCACTACATCGACCGGGTCCGCGCGCTCGAGCTCGAGAACGATCGGCTGCTGCTCAAGATCTCCGAGCACGAGGAGGTGACCACGCGCGAGGTAGGCGGCGGCCGGGGGGCTGGGGCCCGGCCGCGGGAACGAGCCGGGGTGGCCCCCCGGGGTCCCCGGGGTGTGCGGGGCCCGCGGCGAGGGGTTCGCGCTGGGCGGGCCCTGTCCCCTGAGGAGCCCCGGGGCGTTGCGGGCCCTGAGAGAGGGGTGCACGCTCGGGCGGGCCCCGACCACCGAGGGATCCCCACGGGGCTTGGGGTCCCCTCTTGAGGGGGTGGTTGAGGCGTGAGGGTCTACCGAGAGGCTCTCCACGGGTTTCAGGGCTCCCCGGCCGGGAGAAAGGGCCGATTGGAACCCTGAGTGAAGGCTGGGGGCGCTGTCCACTGTGGGGTTCCCAGGAGTTTGGGGTGTTTCCTTGTCTAAAGGTGGGGGCTGCATCAAGCCCGCAACCGTTAAAGGGTCCTCAGGGGACTCTGGAGTGAGGGGTGCATCTTGCACACCGGGGCTGTACCATAGTTTGGGGTTTTCCCTGCGAGAGGCGGCTGGTGCGCCCCGCCCACCGAGGGATCCCGGGAGATCTCGGCGGTCCTGAGCGTCCTCGAGGGATTTCAGAGGTGCCCTTAAGCCGAGATGCAGACTGGGCGGGCCCCTTGCTCAGAGGGATCCCCAGTGTATCTTGGGGCCCATAAACCCCCGATGGCGATGGGACAACCGTGCTCATCAAGGGGTCCGAGGAAGTTAGGGGGCCCCGAGTTTGGGGTGCATACTGAAGCTTGCCTGCTCCTCTGATCTGGGGCTGACAGGAATTGTGAGGAATTCTCTGGGGATGGGTTTGGGTGTGGGAGTGGTGGGGAGAAAGTTGTGGGGGGATGGTTCTCTGGCTGGGTGTCTGGGAATCTCAGTCTCTGGAAAGAGGAGGGTCTTACAGGGTCTCTGGGGTGCCAGTTTTCTGGAATTTTGTACAAGTCGCATGATGAGTCCTGAGGAGTTTGGGGACAGGGGGTGGGGAGTAGGCATTAGGCTCTGGGCTATCTGGCCCTGGGCAGGGGGTGGGGGAGTCCCAGGGAAGGGGAGATTTTGGAAGGCCTTGGGGTGGACCTTGGGCCATGTTGGCTGGTGGGTGGGAGCCTTGTAGCCCCACCTAGGGGGGGTGACCTGAGGTCTTGTGGATCCAACAGAAGTCTGGGATATGGGGTGGGCGGAGGACTTCCCTTCAGACACAGGAGAGGGTGGATGCGCCCCACCGGCCTAGGAGAGGGGAGGGCCAGTGTCTGGGGGTCCCTGGTAGGGACCTAAGTATACCCATGCTCTTTTCTCTTTCTGGGGATCTCCAGATCCAGAGACATGCCCTCTGGGGAGGAGAGAAGGGGAGTACCCCCCACATGTGAGTGGGGTACCCCTGTGGGCCACAGGAGTCGGGTGCTGACCCACGGTAGCTGTGTGAACGTGGGTAAGTGCTGGGGTGGTGTCACCCTCCTTCTGTGCCGTCTCGGGCAGCTCTGGGTCTCTGCCTCCTCTGTGAAGTGGAAGTCGTTGTAGCTGGCCGGCCCCTGTGGGCTTGCTTGCGGGGCCAGGATAGTCTTGCTTTTGTTCGAATCCAGGATGAGCTCTGAGGGTTCTCTTCAGCAGGGGCCAGGACTGGCCAGCTGAGAGAGTGGACTTGGGTGTTCGGGCAGGAGGTCGACCTGGTCAGCGGCCCGGCCACGATTGGCAGGGGAGTGACACTCTGCGTTCCAGCTGCGTGGCCGTGGAAGTTTGTTTTGTCATCTGTGCCGTGGGGCTGGAATGGCCCACCCAGAGCAGAGCAGGGCCACCTTGTCTGGCTCCTGGTCATACATGGGCCTCCCTTGGGCCACCTGCAAATGGGGTAAACCTCCACTGCAACCTTTGGGGGTGCTGGGTCCCATGGGCCCCCGGAGCAGACGCCGGGAGCCCCAGGCACTGAGCTCCCTCTGTGTGGGCTGCAGGGTTGTTTCTCTCCCAGCTAGGGCTTGTTGGTCAGCTGGGCTAACTCGTGGGGGTACTTGCCCCACTTGGCTGCCACCCAACCATGACTGTCCCTGGGTGTGTTCAGAGTGGGAGCTGGGGGGATCCGGGCTGCTTGGGCGGGTGGGGTGAGAAATGCTGTCCTAACGTTCGGTGGGGAGAGAGGACCTGGAGCAGTGGATGAGGCTGTTTTGGGGGACTGGCATGGAGATGACCTTAGGCCACCCAGGGGCCCAGACTTGACGGGCAGGCAAGGTGGGTCTCAGGCCGGAGTGGGTGGTGTGGGAGGGGCTGGGCGGTGGCCTGCTAGAGGGACATGGGTGTCCTGTGCCCTTTGTACTGCAGCTTCTCACCTGCGGAATCTGCCCTGGGGGCAATGTCTGGGGACAAATGGGGTGTTAGGCTGGGTGGGTATTATGAGTGGGGGCGAGGGATGCTGCTTAGCACCCCACGGTGCCCAGGACGGCCTCCCACAGAGTGATGGGGACCCTGAATGCCATTAGTGCCAAGGTTGAGGAACCCTTTGAAGGTGCCACTTAAAAATAGTATAAAGGTGGGCCTCCCCTGGTGGCGCAGTGGTTGAGCGCTGGGCTGTGAAGCTGCCCGCAGCCTCTGTAGCGCCTGTTCGATCCCCGCCCACTGGTGAGGGTCCCACATGGCGTGCAGACCTCTCCTGCCGCCCGCTGCTCCCCTCAGCAGTGTATTTCATCATTCTGCCTGTTCTGTTCCCCGCTCTGGCTCTGGTGAATCCTCTCACTTTCCTGTACTTCTGACTGTACCCAGTGCTTGTATAAATAAATAAAATAAATCTTTAAAAAAAAAAAAAAAAAGGGCCACACACTGGCAGTCCATCCAAGACTTCCGGGACACCAGGTAAAAGGCAAGTTTGCTCCACTGGTCCCCCATCCCCCGTGAGGTCGGTGGTGTCGGCCTTTCCCATCCACATGCCCCGCCCCCACTTACAAGGATGCCATTGGTACCCCTTGGCAGGGCGGTCAGTGCCGCCGTGCAGGTGTCACTGTGGGGGTGGCTTTGGGAAAGCAGCAGGGTGGGAGCTGGCCAGATTTCCTTTTGAGAAAGATCATGGGTGCGGGCAGGAGAGTCGGGAGGAGGGGAGGTATCTCCGGGGAACACCCCCCCCCACACACACACACCAGGAGTTAAGTCCTCCAGGAGAGAATCTTGGTTTTGCTTTCTTTCCCTCCCGGCCCAAGCGCCCTGTTGCTGCTGGGGCAGGGGGCTCCCCAGGTGCCGCAGGGAGGAGGGACTAGACCAGGAACTTGTGGGTGAGGGTGAGCTGTGCTTCTCAGCCCAGGGTGATTTTATGATTTTGGGGATGCAGCCAAGTCCTCACCTGCTGCATCCTCCTCCGCCACCCTCCCCCCAAAGAAAAGGCTCCCCCTGCCAAGGCCAACACGTGTTGACACTTGTTGGGCTCCCGTGCCTGGCCCTCGCAGGTCGCCATGAAGACAGTCCCAGCCTCCCTGTGGCGGTGTGAGTGAGGGCACAGGTGCCGGGCAGCTGGGCCTGCCGGGACACCACCTGTTCCGTGGTCTGAAAGAGCCTTTGTGCGGGTCTGCTGCCTGTGTCCTGCCGTAGCCCAGGGTCAGCGCATGTGTTCTGGAGAGGGCTGGTGTCCGCGGGCCTGCCCGTCCCTAGTGGTGAGGGACCATCGAACTCCTGACTCCTCCATGGGCTGGGTGTTGGGACAGCTGCCAGTGATGCCTGATTTGTATGCACTGGAACTGGAATTTCCTAGAATTTTCCCGTGTCACAAAATACCTTTTTCTTTTTCCTTAATTCTCCCTCTGTCCTCTGGCTGTTTAAAAGCATAAAAGCCATTCTGGACGGGGGCAGGACAAGCATAGGGCAGAGGGCTGGAGTTTGGACTGTGGAGCTGAGTCTGTGGAACTGACTATAGAGAATTGCCTCTTCAGATAAACACACGAGTGTGCATGCACAGAGGAGCCCAACCTTGAGCTCCAGCCCAGACACCTGTGGTGGCCAGGCAGGTGGCCCTTGAGCCAGCCAGTGTCCAGGTCTGGGCAGAGCCTAATGGGGACCCCAAATTTCAGTCGTGGAGACATGAACCCAGTGGTGTTACTTGGCCTTAGTTTTTATTTTTATTTATTTTTTAAAAGATTTTCAGTTATGTAAGAGCTGGGGCACAGGCCAGAGGCAGGGGAGGCTGAGATAATTCACCAGAGACGGATCAGGGAGCAGAACAGGCAGATTGTCTGAAATATGCTGCTGAGGGGAGCAGCAGGCGAGACAGGAGAGGTCTGCCACGCCATGTGGGTATCTCCCTGGCCGGGCGGGAATTGAACCTACGCTGCAGAGGCTACGGACAGCTTCACAGCTCTGTGCTCAACCCGCTGCGCCGAGGCCTGGCTTTAGTTTTTAGACCAGTTTTAGAGAGGCTTGGCGGTCTACGGTGTCCCGTGAGCATCTTTACCAGTGTGGACACGCCCTTGTAAGCTTACACAGACCTTATTCCGGTTCCTCAGTTTCCCAGATGTTGCTTACTCGCGTTGCCTGGGCATTGGGCAGGGGGTGGGGGCAGGAGCTCTGGACAATGTCCTGTTCACTGTTGACCGTATCCGGCTGGGGTGATGGGATGAATAATATTTTAGTGGAATCTTTTAAAAATACAAATTTACACACAAAAAATCTGCAGGGGCTGAAATATCAAAGGTTTCCAAACAGTGTCGGGATTACTGAGCTCCCTTCGGCCCTGTCCAATGTAGCACCGACCTGGCCTGGGTCCCTTGGTGGGTCAATCCATCCCGGGCCCTCTTGCCAGAGACGGTGCCCCAGGATGTGTGCGGCTTGGGGAGGCGGGGAGGCAGGGCAGGAGAGCCTGTCTGGGCTTTCTGTCAGGCTTCTAGACCCTCCCTTGGACTTAGTGGAAGGCGAGATGGTAGGAAAGAGAGCAAAGACATGTGCGTGAACAGAGGCACCCAGCTATCTTGGGAGTATGGAGCTGGCTTGCTGCTTTAGGGTTTATTCCAGAAGTCAGTCCCCAGAAAGTGGACATGGACGGTGTGGCCTGAGGTGACCACCTCTGAGGGTGGGCCCTTCCTGTGCCTCCCAGGGGAAGGATCGAAGGGGCCACTAGGATGCAGGAGGAGGTTTGTTTTTTGTCTGTTCCCCATCCCCCCACCACTGTGTGCCCCCATTTCTGAATTGCCCCAGACCTTGACGGGAAGGCAGTTGACTCTTACGCGCCTTGGTTCCCCACCTGGAGTGGGGCTGGAGCCCACATCTCACTAGCCTGTGGGATGAATGACTGAGAGCACCTGGATTGGGGTGGGACAGCCACGGTATGGGGGGCTGGTAGCCTCTGACCATTGGACCCCACCTTGTCCAGATTGACATGGTGCGTTCTGATTTTAACCCTCAAATGTCCCACATCCAGGCGTGACCCCTTTGGCCAGGCAAACCTGATTAGTTGTTCACCCCACCAAATGGCATCTTCTTAGCGGTTGTCCATCTGTGCACCTCTTTAAAGTTCACAGTCAGTGGCTTTAGTATATTCACAGACACATGGACATTCACAGAACATTCCATCACCCCGGAAAGAACCCCCGTCCCCACTGGTGGTCACTCCCATCCCCACCTCGACCCCTGGCACTGCGCACCCTCTGTCTGTGGACGCGCCTGTTCTGGACATTTCACACTGTGTTGTTGAAGGTCCCTCCGTGTGGTAGTGTGTGTTGAGCGTTTACTTCTTTCTGTGGCCGAGTCATGCTCCACCATGTATGAGTGGACACGTGTGTTCTACCTTGTGGCTGTTGTGTTCGTGCTGTGAACATGTGTGTGCAGTTTGGTGTAACATGGGTTCATTTTCCTGGTAGACACCTAGGAGTGGAATTGCTGGTGTCCAACACCCCTGCCAGCTGGGTGTGGACGTGCTGGTTTCTCCACGTCCTGGCTGCCACTTGTTGGTCTTTTTGCTCCCAGCCACCCTAGCGGGCGAGGTAGCATCTTACCGTCCTGGTTTGGCCCCAAATATTTGGTTCCAGACACATGTGAGTGGCCCCGTGTGCCTAAACGTGGGGGTGGGGCGGGGCCAGAAGGCTGGTGACAATGAGTTGTATGTACACTTGTTCTCTGGGTGGGGGAGAAGGAACATGGACCGGTCAGGCAGGCTGGGTGGCCCCAGAATTTGGGGCCCCAGAATTTGTGCTGGTCAGGGAGCTGCTGGGGGTGTGTTGGTTTTGCTGATTTTCTCCGACCTGGTGAGCTGGCTGTAGGGCCGTGTCTGGAGCAGGCAGTCTGGGCCCACCTGCCGCCTGCCTCGGGTAGGGAAGGGGCTTCACCTGGGCCTTGCTGTCCCCCAGGTGAGTGGCATCAAGACGCTGTATGAGTCGGAGCTAGCCGATGCCCGCAGGGTGCTGGACGAGACGGCCCGAGAACGTGCCCGGCTACAGATCGAAATAGGGAAGCTGAGAGCTGATCTCGACGAGACCAACAAAAGGTGGGCTGCAGCTGGGGGGCATGTGCAGGGTGGGGACCTTCACCCTCTGTGTGGCAGGGACCACCTGGCCTTCAGGGCCTGTGTCCATCTAAGTGGGGTTTGGACAAATGTTTCATGGCGCGAATCCCCCATAGAAGCGTCACACAGAATAGTGCGTGCTCGGTACCCTTCCCCTTTCCTGGAAACCACGGGTCCTTTCACTGATTTTACCTTCTCCAGAATGTGCTGTTGTTGGATTCCTAGCGTGTAGCCTTCATGCCTCCCGTGGCGCAGAGCAGAGCGCCAGGTAGACCCCCAGTCAGCCGGCCTTTGATAAAGCACACAGGCCACCTGCACATTTCAGAAGCAGCCGGCAGACTATAGATCATCCCGTTCACTCGTAACAGATTTGAACTACAAAAGAATGCAAGCTTCTTGGAGAAGATTAAAGGAATTCCAAAATCAAAGAGAAAAACAAATCTCCATGAGCCTCACAGTCGCTGTGGACTGTTTCTTTACCACCCAAACGTAGAGTTGTTGAGTTTTCCACATTTCCTGACCCTTGGGTGGTGGGTGAGCAATGCTGTCCTGACTGGTCCAGCTGCCCAGGCTTGAACTCCCCCCCACCCCACCCCGTCCCCTGCCCCGTGCTCTTCTCCCAGGAGAATGGCCGGGGCTCCCTCCCGAGCTTTGCGTTCCAGGGCCACCCTGCAGGAGTACCTGTGCCCTGCTCGGGGTCCTGCCCCCGCATGGCCCCTTCTCTGCTTCTGCATCTGTCATTCTGACACAGCCCCTGCTATCTGCGCCCGAGAGAGTTCTTCACAAGGCAGGGGTGCTTGCAGTGTGTGTGGTGGGAAGATGCCTTCTCCACAAAGCTGGCAGCCAAGGAACAAGTCCAGTGTCCCCAAGCCCCTGCAAATTTCCTCCAGGAATGTGGGGCTTAGCCCCCTCCCCCTGGGAGTGGAACTGCCAGCATTGTGCGGCTTCAGCTCAAGAACCTGGGCTCCTGGGACACCGGGCCCTTCCTGGAGGCCACTGCCACACAGAACAGGGTCCTGAGGGCTGCTGGTAACACCACCAGCCTTGTGACTCGAGTGACTGGACCTTGCGCACTACGCCCCCCCTTCACAGGAACAGGACAACCCCCCCCCCCAGTGTATCTCAACTCAGGCTCCCCTGCCCCCAGGGAGAGTGGCAGTATCTGGGGACATCTCTGGTGTCACTGGGGTGCTCCTGGTATTGAATGGGTGGGGCCTGTGATGCTTCTCAACCTCCCGTAGTACCTGTAGTGTCTCCCCTTACATGAGGTTTTTTTTTTTTTTTTTTTTTTTAAGATTTATTTATTTATTTATGCAAGCACTGGGTACAGTCAGAAGTGCGGGAGGGTGAGAGAATTCACCAGAGTCAGAGTGGGGAGCAGAACAGGCAGACTGATGAAACACACTGCTGAGGGGAGCAGCGAGCGGCAGGAGAGGTCTGTGCGCCATGTGGGACCATCGCCGGCGGCCAGGGATCGAACCGGTGCTGTAGAGGCTGCGGGCAGCTTCGCAACCCAGCGCTCAACCGCTGCGCTACCAGGGGAGGCCCCCCTACATGGAGTTTTGAACCCACAGCCCAGGCCTCATTACCGAGGGGAGCTGCCTGCACTTGAGGGCCACTCCCCACTAACTTCCGCTTTTGACTTCCAGCTCCAAGAAGAGGGAGGGAGAACTCACTGTGGCCCAGGGCCGTGTGAAGGACCTGGAGTCCCTGTTCCACCGGAGCGAGGCAGAGCTGGCCGCCGCACTCAGTGACAAGCGCAGCCTGGAGAACGAGGTGGCTGAGCTCCGGGCCCAGCTGGCCAAGGTAGGAAGTGGGCCTCGGTGGGGACGAGCTCTGTGGTGACGGGCACGTGCAGCTGCAGGGCTGGGGCGGCTGAGGGGGTTCTGGCAGGTATGAGCTGCCTGGGGTTCAGTGTCTGACCCGCAGGCCCCATATGTAGTGGACACCCCTCTTTGGAGTTTGTCTATTCAAGGGGCTCCCGTGGCCCCGAGGAGCCACAGGGGTCCAGCAGAAGGTTGTCCTCTCAGCCTGTCCTGCCTCCTAGGCAGAGGATGGCCATGCAGTGGCCAAGAAGCAGCTGGAGAAGGAGACGCTGATGCGCGTGGACCTGGAGAACCGCTGTCAGAGCCTGCAGGAGGAGCTGGACTTCCGAAAGAGCGTCTTTGAGGAGGTGAGCCCATGTGGTCCACCTCCAGCCTGGATAGGCCCGCGTGCCTGGGGCGGCTGTCACAAGTCACACACGCAGGGACCTTCAGCAACAGGGCTCTGTCCTCTCCCAGCTCTGGGGCTGGTAGTCCAAAGTCAGAGTGTTGCAGGGGCTGCTGGCCCTTCAGCGCTGGGAGCCCCGGGCATCCTGGGTGCATGGCTACATCATCCGGTCTCTGCCGACACGCTGGTGTCCTCCCTCTCTCCTCTCTCCTGCCTCTTACAAGGACACTTCACGTGGGGTTCAGGGCCCACCCCAGTCATCCAGGCAGCTCTCATCTCCAGACCCTTCAGATCTGTGAAGTCCCTGTTTTCAACAGTTCCACTCAGGGTTAGGATGTAGGCACACCTTTGGGGGGGGGCGGGGCACCATTCATCCCACTACAGATGTCCCTGTCAAAAAGAGGGGTCCAGATGGACCCCCCCATCTCTGGCTTGTGGTTCCTCCCACATCATCACAGAGCCCATTGTGTTGTCAGGGCCCAGAGCGGAACCCTGGGGGTCCCCCAGTCCCTGCAGCCACTGCCCGGGAGCCTGCGAGCAGGAAGGATGCCCATGCGACTGAGGAGCGCCCTTGTGCTCCAGCCGGTCCCCTCCCGGGCCTCGGGGGCTGCACGGGGAGCCCAGAGGGAAGCTGGAGGGAAGGCCAGGAGTGCTGAGATGGGAGCTGAGTCCACACCTGTAAAGGCATCCATGGGAGAACGTGTCAGGGGACCCTTGAAGGAGCCTGTGAGGGGGATTGTGGAGGGAACTGTGCAGAGACCCCGGAGGGGGCCTCTGAGGTGGACTTTGAGGAGCTTTCGGCGAGAATCGGTAAAGAGAACCACAAGGAGGCCCTGGCAGAGAGCTGTGGGGGACACCATGAAGAAGGTGGGTGTTCTGGTGGTGGGGCTTGGCAGGGCCCCCCCCCCCGCCCCCAGGGCCATGAGGTTCACCAGTTTTTTGTTTTTACAAACCCCTGCCATGGCAACACATGACCAGGCCCGGGGCCTTGGCACTTGCTCTCCTAGAGCCCCAGGTCTGTCCAAGAGCAGTGACAGCTGAGCTGGTCCACTGGCACCTGCTGACAAGGGGGCAGGGGCATGGGTGGGCCAGGCCTCCAGGGCCGGTTTAACCAGGTGTCACTGTCGCAGCCCACGCTGTGTCCCAGAGCTGGTTTCTGCTGCCCTTGAGTCTTGCAGGCCCTGGGCACCTGGGGTGGACTTTGACATATGTGTTCCCGTGCCGTATGAGTGAGTTAGAGTGAGTTTAGAGTGAGTTAATATATTCACAGCCCTCACTCACTCTGCGTACCGCCGCATTCAGAGCATTATCCGAAAAGAAACCTTGTTCCTATTAGCATTCTGGGTTTTTTCCCCTATCTCAGTTTTTCATAAGTGAGATTAAAAACTAACTATTTAAAAGCATACAGTTTTGGGCCTCCCCTGGTGGCGCAGCGGTTGAGCGCTGGGTTGCGAGGCTGCCCGCAGCCTCTGCAGTGCCTGTTCGTTCCCCGGCCACCAGCGAGGGTCCCATAAATAAAATAAAATAAAATAAAATCTTTAAAAAAAAATAAATAAAAGCATACAGTTTTATGGCACTTAGTACATTAATAAGGTTGTGCAACCACCACCTCTGTCCAATTCCCAAACATTCTATCACCCGAAGAAATTCTGTTCCTAGCAGTAGTCACTCCTGTCACAGTCTCCCCAGCACACTACCATGGGCTGAAGTGCAGTCTGTGGCTGTGCCTGTTCTGAACATCCCACGTCAGTGGACTCACCGTGTGGACCAAGCAGCCTTTTCATGGCTGTGTAATATACCACACTATGTGGATAGACACGTTTTATTTTTCCCTTCATTTGCTGGGGGACCTTTGACCTGTGTCCACTCTAGTGGTTGTGAGTTGTACAAATATCAGTCAATAATTGTGATGGGGTAAGTAGAGTCCCAGAGGTCATCGTTTGGAGGATTTTGAGTCCTGGTTTGGGCCTTGTGCTTGGGTGAAGAACACTGGTGGCCAGGACAGGGCTCAGTCACCCTGGCTCCCCACACTCGCCTGCTGCTGCCTCGGGTAGCCCTGCTGAGCAAGTCACTGTGACCGTCGACAGGAGGTGCGGGAGACGCGGCGGCGGCACGAGCGTCGCCTGGTGGAGGTGGACAGCAGCCGGCAGCAGGAGTATGACTTCAAGATGGCGCAGGCCCTGGAAGAGCTGCGTGGCCAGCACGACGAGCAAGTGCGGCTCTACAAGTTGGAACTGGAACAGACCTACCAGACCAAGGTGTGGCTCGGGCAGGTGGGACATTGGGTGGCCTCCTCCCTGGCACTGGCCCCTCACCATCCACCTATCTCTTCTCAGTTGGACCACGCCAAGCTGAGCTCTGACCAGAACGACAAAGCGGCCAGTGCTGCCCGGGAGGAACTGAAGGAAGCCCACATGCGGCTTGAGTCCCTTAGCTACCAGCTCTCTGGGCTCCAGAAGCAGGTGACTCATGAGGGCCCTGGAGACCCCTGGGCCCTGTGGCCCAGTGGGGGTGGTGGGCTGCCTCTGCCTCTGGCGCCCAGTGGTGCCCTGCGGTGTCTTGTCCCCTGTGCTCGTAGTGGAGCACTTTGGCCGCTGCCACCTGGCTGCTGAACCCCTGGCTGTCTCAGGCCTGGTCCCTGGCCCCCGCCCAGGTACCCCTCCCCTTGCTGTCATATGTGTGCAGTCCTAGGAAACAGGAAAGAGGCCCCAGTCCGGGGGCTTTTCTCTGGGCCCAGCCTGAGCTGAGCTGACCTGGCCAACCTCCCCTCGCCTCCCAGGCCAGTGCCGCGGAGGACCGGATCCGAGAGTTAGAGGAGGCCATGGCTGGGGAGCGGGACAAATTCCGAAAGATGCTGGACGCCAAGGAGAGGGAGATGACCGAGATGCGGGACGTGATGCAGCAGCAGCTGGCTGAGTACCAGGAGCTGCTGGACGTCAAGCTGGCCCTGGACATGGAGATCAATGCGTACCGCAAGCTCCTGGAGGGCGAGGAGGAGAGGTGGGTCTTGGGGGAGCCCCCTCCCCAGAGGGGTGAGGAGGCGCGGCGAGGTGAGGGAACAAGAGTGGTGGTGGGTAGGGAGGGGTGAGAAAGGAACCTGGGGGGAGTAGGGGTGACGCCAGAAGAAGAGGTGTGGAGAGGAGGGGCAGGGTGAGGGCCAGGCCCGGCAGGACTGCTGCTGTCTGTGGACCCTGCGCTGCCCCGCCCACCTGTCCTGGGCCCGCTTTCCCAGTCAGGGCTTGGCCAGCCGGCTCTGGGCTCCTGTCAACAGCTGCCCTCTCCTCCGACAGGCTGAAACTGTCCCCCAGTCCCTCATCTCGGGTGACCATCTCTCGGGCCACTTCAAGCAGCAGCGGCAGCAGCGTGTCCACAGCTGGGCGCTCGGGCCGTGGCAAGCGAAAGCGGCTGGAGGCAGAGGAGCCCCCAGGCACGGGCTCCAGTGGCATCGGCTCCGGCAGCAGCACCAGCACCAGCAGCAGCTTCCACCTGGCCCAGCAGGCCTCGGCGTCAGGCAGTGTCAGCATCGAGGACATCGACCTGGAGGGCAAGTTTGTGCAGCTCAAGAACAACTCAGACAAGGTGAGACCCAGCAAGGGAGGCCCTGGGGGGCCATCTAGAGCTGTGCGTCAGGCGTCTGTCTCCCTGCCAGGATCAGTCCCTCGGTAACTGGAAGATCAAGAGGCAGCTGGTGGAAGGGGAGGAGATCGCCTACAAGTTCACGCCCAAGTATGTGCTGCGGGCTGGCCAGACCGTCACGGTAGGTGGCAGCTGAAAGGCAGGTTGGCCCCCGTGGGAGGGTGGGGTGGTGGTCTGTGGCCCAGCTCTGAGAGCAGCCACCTGCCGTCTGGTCACGGTGACCAGTGTGGCAGTGGCGGGGTCCCACGGTGGAGGTGGATCCGGGCCATCTGAACAGGTGGGCATTGAGTAAAGGTGGTGTGCCCACGGACCCAAGAGCCAGGGGCTTCAGATCCCATCTTGGCCCGCTTGCTGAGAGCTCTTGGCCACTGCGCACCTCCGTCTCTCCATAGCCCGAGATCGTCATCCCTGGGCAGGACCCAGTAGGGCCAGAAGGGTTGAGTGCCCGGGCATCGAGGGAGATTGTGTGGTACTTGCCCCTGGACCCAGAGCCATTGCTGAAGGCCCTTCTTTGTCCCCAGGTGTGGGCGGCTGGTGCAGGGGTGGCTCACAGCCCCCCCTCAACACTCGTGTGGAAGAGCCAGAACAGCTGGGGCATGGGCGAGAGCTTCCGGACCATCCTGGTCAATGCCGATGGGGAGGTGGGTACCTGGGCTCGGATGGGTGGGAGCTCTGGGGTGAGCTTCAGCCAGCAGGGCCAACAAATGCAGCCCCGGCCTGGCCCTGGGATGAGCCTGTGGCCGGTGACGGCGGACTGGGGCCCTGCCCTCACTGCACTGCGGTGGCTGCGTGGCTGCCACCCGAGCGTCCGGGGCTTGTGTCTCCACAGGAAGTGGCCATGAGAACCGTGAAGCAGACCGCCATGGCTCGGGAGACGGAGAACGGGGAGGAGGGGGAAGAGGAGGAAGCTGAATTCGGGGAGGAAGATCTTTTCCATCAACAGGTAGCCGCCCGGGGCTGCACATGCACGCACACGTGTGTGCACATGCTCTTGTACGCCATGTTTGTGCTGCAACGAGACACAGAGCTGGCCCTGAGTGGTTCTTGGCCTCACCCAGGCCTTCCACCCCCACCACAGGGCCCCCAGGTGGAAGCCAGAGGTGGGCAGGGGCGGCTGTCCCTGCCTCTGGTTCTTGTCCCTAGTGTGGCCCTCAGGGTCGCTGGCCCGAGGTCCCCGGGAGCGGGGGACGGGAGGCAGGTTCCATCTTGAGGTGGCGCTGGCACGCCCTGGAGGCTCTCCTCACCATTCCGACCTCACATTTCCTCCACTGTGAGTTCCCCGCGACCGGCGGGAGACACAGAGCCTGGGAACCACCCCGTTGGTAGAGGGTCATGAGACGACCGGAGTCTGAAACAAAGTTGTGATGTGGTGTGTGGCTCAGGGCAGAGGTGAGGGCGACACGGAATGTTCTGGGGCAGGGACGGTTGAGCCTGAAACCACTGGCCCTGAGCTTCAGCCCCTCCCTGCTCAAGGGTGGTGGGTATCGCCAGCGACCTGCCTACTCAGTGGGCACACACCCTCACCTGACTGCGCCATCCTTCCTTCCAGGGGGACCCCAGGACCACCTCTCGAGGCTGCCGCGTGATGTGAATGGAATTTCCTCATCACACGTCTTTACCCAGAGCCACTGAAAACTATTTTTATATCATTGGCTTTGTTTAGTCCTTGATATATTTCTAGAAAATTTTTAAGCAAACCGCCAGGAGGCGGGGGTGGGTCTGTTACTCTACTTGTGGTGGACGCGGACTCTCCATCACCACTGTCAAGACTGTTTTTTGGTGCCCATTTCACCATTTGGTTGAATTCAAGACCCAGGAACTTGATGGCCACGGAGGTGGGAGGGCCTGGCTGGGCTCTGCGGCCGACCTCCGCCCTCCCCCACCACAGGCACCACGCCAGTCCCGAGCCCCCAGGTGACACCGTGAGTGAAACTGTAATGGTTGTTTCTGTCAGCTTTTTTCAAAACCAAATTTAGAATCTGGTTCCAACCTGGTGGCAGGCAGGGGCATCCCCGTGGAATTTTGGTGGCTCACCCAACCGTAAACCAGAAATTTACGTAATTTTACGTACAACATGAATCCGTTTGGAATGATCCCCTGGGAGTCAGGGATTTTTACGGTCTTGTTTGCCACAATTCCTGCTCTGCCCATGCGCCATGACGCTCTGGGCTGGGCCGCACCCTCCGCAGGTCATTTCTCCAGCCGCAGGAACCGCGGGGCCTGAGAGGCGGCGGCCTGGGCAGCGGACAGGTCCATGCTAAGACGTCGCCCAGGTAAATGTCGCGAGGACAAGTCTGATACCCTTAGAAGCACCTGCCTCCAGTTTCAGAACAGCAGTCCACGGGCAGCCACTCCAGGTCCTCCCAGCAGGAGGAAAGTGACTGACTTCCGGGAGAGCCCTCCGGCTCCCTGTTTTCCAACTCTGTGCCTTGTGCATGGGGCTGAGCGACCTCCCCATTGTCTATATATACTCCCATGCATATATCCATATTGTAGCTTTCATCTGTAGGTTTCTTGCTGAAATTATGTTTCTCAGACAGACATGCCAGCGCCATCATCCTATAGGATGGCTCTAGGCCTTACAGCCCAGCTCTGGCCGCCTGACATCCCCGTTTGCATTAGCTTACCGTTTACACCTCCTTCCACACAGATACACAGAAGTTATTTTTTTAATGGATATTTATTTTTTTACATTGGTCAGTATGCAGATTGCCGGATCCCATGTCAGGGTTCACACCAGGGCCACCAGGACAGTCCCGAGGGGCGGTATGGGGGTGGGGGGGTGCCTATCTCTGAACCCCCACGTGGCAAACTTCCTTCAGAAAGTGCAGCTCGAGTCTTAAAGATGCAATACTGAGCCTTGGAGGTGTGCTGTCTCCCAGATAGCTCGAGCAAGTTCTGGCCTTCTGTGGGTCACCCTGGGCCAGGAACAGCACACCTGCTTTCCTGCCCCCCGTGTCCAAATGTCCGCCTCTCCCTGGGAAATGGTGAGGAGTCAGATCTGAGCCCCAGGTCACGAAAGTGCCGATGGCCAACAAACGCTGCTGCCACTGCATGTAGGATCTGCCTGCAGCCCTTTGCTTTAAGTTCTGGGTTCTTTCCTGACCTGAGTTGTTTTTCTCCTAGAGGGAAATGCTCTACCAAAGTAACTCCTCCCAGAAGGGTAGACACACCACCTTTCTGGTGAGCACCCTGAGTGTTGCCAGCTCTGGTGAAGCGCCATTACCCCCATGTGTGGCCCTTTCAGGGATGTGCTTTTTGTGGCTACCTGCTGTCTCCCTTTAAGCCTGGCATAGTAGGACCCATGTGGACTGCGTAGGGTCTGGAGAGCAGATGCCAAGGCACTGGGAAAGGTGGGTCTTGGTGACCCCAGAGACCTGGAAAGTCTGCACTGATTTCAGCCACATCCTTCAAATTATTTTTGGGACTCTGGAGGATCAAAGTTGTGTCTGGAATCGGGGGGTCTAGGATTTGCTGAAGAAGTTTTGCAGGCTGAGCTTGTGGACCCACGAAGGGAGCGGGACCCACCCTCCCCCAAGACCCTGAGGTCCCCAAGGTCCCCAGATGCATGGATAGTGGGTGCCTCTGGCAGATGATGGTTCTCACCTCAAAACTGGTTCTCCTACTGGCCCTCATCCGTGTTGGCCTGGCCGAGGTCTTGGGTGGAGCTGGGAAGTGGGCCAGGCACCGGGGTGCCCTTGACTGGGGGGGGGCAGGGGAGCTGGACTGGGGAGCCCGTTGGCAACGGCCGTTGGTAATGAAGTATTTGGGAACATAGAGTAGAATTCATTGTTGAAATGACTGTGGTCTGGGAAAGTTCGCACTTGTCCTTAAATATGCTTAACTTTATGCCACTTAAAGTAATGTAGAAAGGATTCTTTTGTTTAAGCCCCGTCACGTGACTCCCCGGAGCGCAGGCCGGCCCCGCCCCCGGGCGCTGCACGGGCCGGCGGGAGCCCGCGGGGCGCTGTCGCCTTCCCCGGGCCCGGCCGCGCCCGCTCGCACCCGCGTCTTCGTGTGGAGGAGCCCGGTTTCCACCCTCGCGGCGGCTGTGCTTGTGCGGCGCATCCCGAGGGCGCGGGGGTCCCCGGGGCCGGCGGCGAGCTGCACGCCGGGCGCGTCCCCGGGGTTTGTCATGTGCATTTTATGACTGGAAACTTTTGTACACGCTCCAATAAACGTTTTGGTTTTGAGTCCTGCCTGCCTTGCTCTGCCCGACGGCCCCAGCCCGCTCCTGGGGGGCCGGCCTCGGCCCCGCGGCGCCCGCTCCCCCGTGTCTGGGTCGGGTTCCCGGTCATGCGGCGACACCCGAGCGCGGGGAGACGGCCCTGCTCGCACCGCCCCGCACCCCCTCCCGGCGACGGCCGCGGAGCCGGCCCGCTTCCGGGGCGCATGCGCACAGGGCCCGCGGCCTCGCGGGAGTTGTAGTCCGCGCGCGCCCCGCCCACGGCCGCCCGCCTACATCTCCCGTGGTGCCCCGGGCGCCCGGCTTCCGGCCGGTACGGCTCGGCGCGTGCGGCCTCGGTCCGGTTGACTTTGCGGAGCCATGGAGGGCGGCTTTGGCTCGGATTTCGGGGGCTCCGGGGGCGGCAAGCTGGACCCGGGGCTCATCATGGAGCAGGTGAAGGTGCAGATCGCCGTGGCCAATGCGCAGGAGCTGCTGCAGGTGCGGGCCGGGGGCGGGGCGGGGGCCGCGGGCGGGGGCCGCCGGGCGGGCTGGCGGCTCAGCGCCCGCTCGTCCCGCAGAGGATGACGGACAAGTGCTTCCGGAAGTGCATCGGGAAGCCGGGCGGCGCGCTGGACAATTCGGAGCAGGTGAGACCCGCCGGGGCGACGGAGTCGCGGGGCGTCGCGCCGGGCTCCCTCGCGCGTGCGCGCCTCGCCGACCGGGCTGGGGGCGCCGGCCGGCTCACCCCTGGCCTGCGCCCCCGCCTGCAGAAGTGCATCGCCATGTGCATGGACCGCTACATGGACGCCTGGAACACCGTGTCCCGCGCCTACAACTCCAGGCTGCAGCGGGAGCGAGCCAACATGTGACCGCGGGAGCGCCTCCAGCAGTTGCCCCCACCCCACACCCCCGTTTCATCTCCATAAATGTCTGTTGTGAGGCGAGGACCAGCGTGTGCCCTTGGTGTGCCCTACTGCTGGGACAGTTGTGATTCAGCCGGCCGCCCAAACCTGCCAGCCAGCGTAGCTTGGGTCTTGGGAGGCCCTGGAACTTTCAAAAGTGCTAGCTGCCTGGCAGGACCTCCCCTGGTGTGCCCAGGTCAACCTCGGACCCTGGGTATTGAATGGGTGAGGGACGGGGGACTGTGCTCATACCCCACCAGGGCTGTGAAGTCCTGGGGCAAATAAATTATGGAGGACAGGTGGGCAGCGGAACCCTGCGTGTCTTCCCTGCAGGGGGTATCTGGGAAGAGGTGTCCTTTGAATCTGGGTTCATCTGACTGAGCCTCTTCCGCCCCTCATCCTCTGCCCAGCTCTGGACCCCTGGCGTAGGTGGTCCTCTCTCTGACATGGAGGTACAGAGCCAGCGTGTGAGGAACCAGGGGCTGTGTTTATTGCAACAAAATATTCAGTAAACCATTTGCAGCCCCATGTCCCACCCGCCACCTGAACTCCCCCTCTGGGACTGGCCGCGGCTCCTGCTGCCTTTGCATCTCTGGTCCTGAGTCTGGGCGGCCACGTGGTGGTCATTCCTGGATGTTCTGCCCAATCCAGCCCCGCACAGCAGCCACCCGGGTATAGACACCAGGGAAATGAGGCCGGCCGCAGCCATAACCCCAGCTGGTGACCCCGGTTAGCACCCACCGGCCAGAAGGCTCCCTACAGGCCAGGGGCCCCCCGGCATCACCCTGAGAGGAGAGAGGAAAGGCTCTTAGAGTAGGCCAGCGACTCCCCCACAGCAGTCTGGGACCAGGGAGTGTTGCCCGGGGTTCCCCCGGCTGGCAGACATGGACGCCAGCCAGCGGGCCCCTGACCAAAGAGGGCTCGCTGCAGCCACTGCTTGCTGTGTCGTATCCCCTCGAGAGGCCAGAAGAGACTGCACTGGGGGAAACCCAGGGTGGGTGCCCAATAAATGGTTATCTGTACAGTGAATTTCCCTCCAAGGCTTAAACGGTGAGCTGCTTGATTCACCTGGAGAAGCTGGCACCGAGGACAGGGCCCAGCTGAGGGCTTTGGAGCAGGGAACCTCGCCCTCCCAGGGTGGCCTGATCAAACCCATTTCATTTGCCAAGTGCGCCTCCAGACCCCGGCCTTGGAAGGGCAGGGTAGGGTCTCACCGAGCAGCTGTCCACGCCGCCGAGCGGGAAGCCTGCACACAGCATGCGGCTGCTGATCTGCACCGGGTAGAAGCGACGGCAGGTCTGCTCGCTGAGGAGGCGCACGGCGGCCTTCTGCAGCTGCCGCGCCATTGAGCCTGCGGAGGAGACGGGCAAGCTGAGATGTGTGCCCTGCAGAACCCCCTGGATGATCTCCCCACCTCTCCTGGAGGCCCTTCCTCATGCCCCTGGGTCCCCACCCCAGGGTGCCCCGGCCCTGCTGCACCTACCTCCCTCTCTCACTGAGCCCCAGCCTGTGATGACGCAGCGTGTGCCATCGGGGGGCCGAGGTACCGGTTCTGGCAGGCAGATGGGCCGCACCAGGCTGCTGCGGCGCACCGGCCCTGCCAGCTCTAGCAGCGCCACATCGTAGTCCAGCGTGTAGAGGTTGTAGAAGGGGTGCTTGTAGATGCCCGCCACGCGCTCCAGCTGCCCGTCTGTGCCGCTTAGGAACGGCGTGCCCAGGAAAGCCACCCACTGCTTGGGGTCCCCATAGCTGTGAGACGTGTGGGGACAGGCTTCGGCCTGGATCCCCGCACTACCCACCCTACCCGCCCCCCAGGGGCTCCCCTGGGCCCCACAAGGCAGGGGCTTCACACGTGCCCCCAGGGGCAGATGGACCTGGACCCGGTGCTTGGCCTCTCTGGCCTGGGTTGCTCTTCTGTAAGAGAAGCTGAGCCCTCCCTCCCAGGCAGAGGGTGGCAGCACTAATGCATGTGCGCCTAATATTAAGATCCTGGGGGCCTTGAGAGGCCCTGCCCTGCCTGCCCTTTGACCTTGACGCCTCCAGGCACCTAGTGTACACTCAGGACAGTCTTGGATGTCAGAGCCCCTTGCCTCTTCCACCTGCTGAGCATCCAGCCAGGAGAGGGCCTGGCCCTGGGGGAGGGGCAGCACTCCCTACTGGACGGCCTTTAGGACTGGTGCCAGTTCCTATGGGGGTGGACCGAGGCGGGAGGGACCCCAGTTACCCAGACGCTTCAATGTTGCCTGCAGGCTAGGCCTGGGAGAGGCTAGATCCTGGGGTTGGTGGGGTCTGCCAGGCTGACCTCAGTCCCCAGTGCTGTGTGGTCAGGTTCAGGAGAGGGGCCGCAGGTGGGTCCCCATGACCCACATCCACCGGCAGGGAGACGGCATTTGGGATGGGTGGGACTCACACGTCGAAGCAGTGCGCCGCAGACAGCAGCCACCTCTCGGCCACCAGCACGGCCCCGCAGCGATGCTCCCGGCGTCGCAGCCACAGGCTCACCTGCCACGGCCACTCCCCTTGGCCCGCAGCACTGCCGCCCACGATCCTGGTCAGCCCTGCCGCAGCTGGTGCCAGGCCGCAGTCTGAGGGGGAAGCCCGGCTTCACGTCAGCAGGAGGACGGGACAGGCCTCCACGCAGCCCAGCCAGCCTGTGCCCTTGCAAGCCCTGCTGGGAATGCCCGGTGGGAGGAGCTCAGGTGGGGTGGGGAAGCTGGGACTAGTGGCTGGGCCACAACATGAGCTTCTGGGCTTTCCTCAGGTAACATCTGAAGTACATTTAGGTTTGTTCTCTAGAACCTCTGTGGGTCAGTCTCACCAGCTCCTGCTCTCCTTCGGGGTGCCTTCTCTGGAGCTCTTTAGATCCCTGTCACACCCAGGGTCCTTTCTGTGATACCTCCTCTGGGCTGTGATTCCCCAAACCCCACCCCTACCTTCCACGAGCCCCCTCAGGACAGCTGTAGAAGAGCAGCCCTGTGGTGATGGACCACCGTTGCCACCCCTGGGGGCACTTGGGTACCCACTGATCATTTCCACAGACCCAGCTGCCTTCCTGCCCCTTCAGTTTTGGGGAAGCCCCGCTAGTCCAAGGCTGGAGGGAACCAAGGGGCTCAGCTCCTCACCTGCCAGGTGCTAACCAGCCTCCCCACCCACCTTCCTTCTCCTCCAAAAGACCCTGCGTGCATGGCGCAAGCACTTTCCCTGCACTGGCCCCTGCTCACTTGGTCTTTCCACCCCCAGAGACTAAGCTGGGGTGGCGCTGCGGGGGAGGAGCTCCCTGAGACCAGCCCAGCAAGCGCCTCCCACGCGAGCCGCAGCCCCCGGCCTCTGCCCCGGGCGCGGGGGTGGCACCTGCTGGCTGATTTCTCGGCTCGAGTCCTGTGGACTTGGCTGCATTTGATGGGATGTCACCTTTGACCTACAAATACAGCTATTTAACCCCGTTCTGATTCAGATTTAAGAAAGATGAATGTTTCATACTCGAGTGGAAAGGTCTGAAAGGCACCGCTTCGGCGGCGGCTCTGGCGCGAGCGAGCGGGGGTCGCTGACGGCGTTTCCGTCACTGACGCGCGGGCCGGGCGGGCTGGCTGTGCCATCCTGGGTGCGTCGTTCCCCGATGTTCCCAAGACGACCACATGCCCCGCGCTCACCTCTTAGACCGTGTCCCTGTCCTTGCAGCGACACGGGGCCGCCCTGCCGAATTGTTCTTGCTCTGCCCCTGCCCCGAACCCGGGCCCTCGGCTCCCGTCATGGGGCCCGAGGGACCCAGCGCCCCTGCGCCCCAGCTTTCCCTGCTGCGACTTCTCCTGGCTGTGGCGCTGTGTGACTGTTTTAAGTGTCTGGCCCCTGCTGCGCCCTGGCGCTCAGAGGGCGGCCTGGAGGAGGCCTTTGTGAAGGGCCTGCCCGGCCACCCCGCCCGCCCCGGGGAGTCTTCACCGCCCAGGTCTGCGGGATGCGGCTCTGCCCCGCAGGCACCCCTGGCTGTCAGGACAGAATCGGGGCTGTCCCTGTTCCCCACATTCATAAGTCGAAATCCTAAGCCCAGACCCTGGGGCACGACTGAGGAGGCTTTCAAGAGGTAATTAAGCTAAACGAGCCCAGCGGGGTGAACTCCAGTCCAGCGTGGCCGCCGTCCTCATGGGGGGCACGCGGACAGCGCAGGGAGACGGCGGCCCCGCGCACCCAGGAGAGGCCTCAGGAGACAACCCTGCCTGCACCCGGGCCTCTGTAGGGCCAGGTCAGAAAGTATCGGGCTTTTCTGCCCTCCCGCCGTCAGGATGGATGCTGGACCCCGCGGTCCTGAGCGCAGGCCTGAGGCGGCCCCTGGGGTGGGGGGTGGGCGAGCGGCGGTGGGTGCGCCTGGGCGGAGAGACCGGGCTTCTGAGGGCGGCGGCACGGGGGCGCCAGCAGAGCAGGAGCAGAGAGAGGCAGCGCGCACCAGAGAAGGCTGGCGAGCCCAGAAAGGGTGAAGACTCGCTCCCGGCCCCCCGCGCCCCTGCCTGCCGCGCCCAGTAAAATCCCAATAAAAGCCTGAAAAGGCCCCGAGGGCTCCGGGGCTCTCCTCCTCCCCCTCTGCTCGGGTCCTAGAGAACCTGCCCCGCGTCCTCCTGCCGGTACAGCCTCCAACCCCCAGTCCCCGGAGCCGGGGAGAACTGTCTGGTGCCTGCGCCGCCGGTGGCTGGGATGACCCAGGCGCAGCCACCCACGCGGGCCACCCTGGTACCTGGCAGCCGGGCGCCCGCGGGGGTCTCTGGGGCGTGGGGCAGTGGCGTCTGTCGCCGGGTGGCGGTGCTCGAGGCCGTGGCTGTCCCGTTGGCAGGCCGGCTGGTGGCCGTGCTGGTGAGCCGCGGGGCGGGTCTGCGGGTGGTGAGCCCCGCCGGGGTCCGGGGGCTACGGCTGGCGGCGGTGGGCAGGCTCGTGGGGGAGGGGGGCGGTGTGGGCAGGGGCCGGGGCGACATGGCGTCCAGGATCCAGCCCTTCATCCTGGTGATCCTGGCGTACACGCCGGGTTTTCTGGCCTGAGCACAGCCGACGCCCCAGCTCACGATCCCCGCCAGGTAAAACACGCCGGGCGTCTCCTCGCAGGCCAGGGGCCCCCCCGAGTCACCCTGCAAAGAGGAAAGGGCGCTGGCGGGCCATCCTTGAGCCCGTGCCCGCGGGCACTGCCCCCTCACACCAGCACTCGCGGGAGACGCGCCAGGGACGTGGCTTCAGGCCACACCTAGACGCGTGGCCGGCGTGACCCGCCCGGTTCCCTGCGGACCTCGCGGCTCTTGCTTTCGTTCTGCACATGTTTAAAACATGCAGAAAAGCTGAAGGACAGCACCTCCACGGACATTCCCCCCACCTAGGACTAAGCGTTAAGCGACCGACGCTGGCGTCTCCTGCACGTCCCCGCAGCCTCGGCAGCCGCGCGCCGCCTTCCTTCAGCCACCGGGACGGGGCCACGAGGCCCAGGCCGTGGGGCAAGGCTGGATTTTCTGGGCACAGAGAGGACAGTCTCCCCACCCCGCACAGACCCTGGGCATGGAGACCGCGGCAGCCCTCCCGGCAGTGGGGGGCGGGGGGGGGCGCCCGTCCCTGCTTTTGAGCCCGGACAGGCCTGTGACCCTCGCCCGGAGTCTGGGGCACGAACACTCTTCCACTGCTCTTGCTACAGGTTAAGCACGAGCGGAGCAGGGGCAGCAGGGGAGGGCGGTGGCACCTCACCTGGCAGGAGTCCACTCTGCCCTCCAGGAAGCCGGCACACAGCATCCTGTCAGTGAGGGAGAAGTTGTACAGGGAGCTGCAGGCCTTCTGGTCGATGATGCCCACGGACGCTCTCTGCAGAACGTCAGGCTTGGTGGCTGCCAGGAAACATTGCTTAGAGGGTGCTCACGGCGCGACCCAGTCCAGCTCTGACCCACCCCTGGGGGGAACCCCCCCCACTGGCCAAGAAACTGAAGCTTGGGACTGGGGAGAAGGCAGTGCCTCCCGGAGTCAGACTGGGGTCAGGAACCCCTCACTGCAGGCTCCCCAGCACCTCGGGTGGCTGCAGGGAGGTCTGCAAGGAAGCATGAACTCTTAGGGGGTTCTGAGGGTGTACCACGAGGGTCTTCAAAGTTTATATAAAGGGCCAGTAGCCTCTGTGGGCAGCACTGGGGCCTGCGTTGGCAGCAGGAAGGCAGCCACCCACCCGCGCACGGTCTGTGAAGCCACGGCCTGGCCGTGTGCCAGCACCACCTCGTTCACAAGGAGCAGCTGCCCTGGAGCTCGGGACAGAGCCTTCCACCCCTGGAGGGGAGGGGAGCTGAGCAGTTGGCAGATGACGGGAGCAGAGACAAGGGGTCCCTTTGCAGGGGGTCCCTGTGGGGCCTGCATACCCCTGCCCCGGCCCAGAGCTCACCGTTTCCCTCCTGCGTGTTACCCCATCCCGAGATCATGCACTTCCGGCCCACGGGGAACTTCTGGATGGCCAGGGGGAGGCAGACTGGCTGGACGTGCTTGTTGAAGACCAGGGGCCCCGCCAGCTCCAGCACGGCCACGTCAAAGTCCAGAATGGCTGGGTTGTACTGGGGGTGCAGCAGCACTCTCTTGATCCCCATCTTCACCGGACTCCCCCCGATGCCCGAGAGGGATGCTGTGCCCAGGTGGGCCCGCACCTGCTCCACCTTTGTGCTGCCAACAAGGGGGCGCTCAGACACCCGCCAGCACCCCCTCCCCTGGGAGTCAGGCACCGCTGCTGGGGCTTGGGTCATTTTTCAGACCCTCAGTTCTGGGGAGGGGCATGAAAAGGGGCCACAAAGCTGCTCCCCCACATGGGCCCTAGGCTGGGAGGGTTGTTGGCAAGGCAGGGAGGACCTTTGCCCTTTGGGGGCAGCGTGAGAAGCCCCTGGAGCTCTATGGCTATTAAAGTCAATGCTGCTGGCTCAGGAGTGAAGGGAAGTCCTGCCCCTCAACCCCCATTTGTCCCCCTCTATCCTCCAAAGTCCAGCTCCACACCCTTCTCCCAGAAGCTGACACCAGGTCCAGGCCCTGAAGACCTGAAGACGACACCCCAGGCCCCCTACTCTCCCTCCTGCTCCTCCTTTCTTGTTTAAATTGAGCATCCAGACACCTGGGCCTGAGCCTCTGAGGAGGGGCTGCCTCTGCCGGCCACACCACACACCTGGGCAGCAGGAGGTTCCTGAATGTTGGGGGTTTGATGGGGCTGCTGGCGACACTGGGGGAGCTGAGCACCCCCCGCCGGAGCTGAAGAGGTCTTACTGGTTGAAGCAGTGTGCTGCAGACAGCAGCCAGCGGTCGCCCACCACGGTGGCTCCACAGAAGTGTCGGGAACCTTCCTTCAGGCTGACCTGCCAGGGCACATCCCCAGAGGCGGCTCCAAGCCCTCCTACAATCCTGGGGGGCTTCTCCATGGCCGGTCTGGCCCCGCATTCTGGGAGGGGACAGGAGAGGAAGGCAGCTGAGCCTTGGGGCACCAGAGTGCGGCCTCCTGCTCCAGCTGGGCCGGGGCACCATCATCCTCACTATACAATGAAGAAATGGAGTTCGGGGTGTCCTAAGGCCTCCTAACTAAGGATGTAGTACAGCAGGTGGGGGATAAAAGAGAGAAGACAAGGGTCTCCCTGGTGGCGCAGCGGGTTGAGCGCAGCGCTGTGAAGCTGTCCGCAGCCTCTGCAGCGTGGGTTCAATCCCGGCCGGCCAGGGAGACTCCCACATGGTGCGGCAGACCTCTCCTCTCGTGCCTGCTGCTCCCCTCAGCAGTGTATTTCAGTCAGTCTGCCTGTTCTGCTCCCCACTCTGTCTCTGGTGAGTCCTCTCACCCTCCCGCGCATCTGGCCTGTACCCCGGTTCTTGTATACATGAATAAATAAAAAAATCTTAAAAAAAAAGGGGAGAAGACAAAAGTATAGTGTCCGGACCCCCTCAGCCCCAACCTGCTCTCTTAGTTTGGGCTGATATTTGTTCGCTTAATATACTTGTAGACGGATTTCCAAGAAAACATGGACAAGCTGTAGCACTAAGAATCAGGATGATGGGATTATAAATAGATCTTTAAAAAATGTAAGGAACTCTCAATTTTTCTCGTTTCTAGAAATTTAGAAAAGGCCTGACGGGAAACTAACTTCTACCTCTAGCTTGCCCTTGGAAGATCCCTGGGGATCTGTTCTTTTTTCCATCTGTAGCAGAAGGCCTAAGGGAAAAAATCCCAAAGCTAGTACAACCAGATTTACAGACGCTAGACTGTGCCAGGGAGGCCGCAGCAAGGACTGCACGCAGAATCACAGTCCCGGGCCCCGAGTTATGGTCCCTTCTGAACTGTGGCTGACAAAGCTGCTCAAGCAGACTCAGAGTTATTCTGTCTTTGCAAGAAGCAGTACACTTGCACCATCCACAAAAGGATCAGAGAACTTGACATAAGAGCTAGCATCCTAGAAGTCTTAGAAGAAAAATAGGAGTAAATCTTTGTGACCTTGTAGACCAGGAAAACTCAAGAGAAGCAACTAAAAAAACTTAGAAGCAGAGAGATAATTCTGAATGTTTGTCACCACCATTGAAAAGGAAATAAAAGTAAAAAGCCAGATAAGAAGATTTTCCTCTTCAATTGGGAGAGCTTGGAGCAAGCAAGTATGTCTAGGAAAATTTTGGAGGACAGATTAATATGAAAATGTACTCCTAAATGCTTTATGTGGGTGGCAGGTCTGGAAGAACACTCATTTGTGATAATTCAAAATTAGTCTCTCTCCCACCCTGCACCTACAACCATCATCACTAGCTGCTTCTTGTGCCTTCAGGATAGACTACATACAACCTCTGGGTCTCACTGACTTTGCCATGCTGCACATCTGCCTTAACCTTTGCTCATGACAGACATCACTAATCAATCACCTGTCTCTTTCCTAAGGATTGCTTCAGAAAGTCAGTACCAGCTGATCTGAACCTGCAAGGAGTGGACACCTACTTCTGCCTGTCTCCCCCCAAAATACCTTGTGGCTTAGAAGTGGTAACTGAGTCAAGAGGTGCAGTGCTGGGGGCCAGTGTGGGTTTGGTGGGGGTGTCGACCACCCCGCTTTCACGGCTGGTGGGCCAAGTATTGCTTGAAGTGGTGGGGGCAGGAGCCACAGTGGGAGCCAGAGGCTTGCTTGCCATGGTGATTGCCTCCAGGATCCAGTCACGTAGCCTGGTCACTCGGGCATAGACCCCCGGACGCCAGGCTTCTGCACAACCAATTCCCCAGCTCACAATGCCAGCCAAGAAGAACCTTCCGGAGGGCTCCTCACAGACCAGGGGGCCTCCAGAGTCACCCTAGGAGACAAAGGCACATCCTCAGGAGGGGTTGGGCCCCCTAGCCACAGCCAGTCCAAAACCCAGAACTACAAGATCAAGGAAGAAGCCCTGGATAGGGACTCCTGAGACCTCTTTCCCATGAGCTGACAGATCAAATGTAAGTTAATAATTCATATATCAGAACCTCAGTCCCGTCTTCCGTAAAAATAAAATAGGACGTTTGGACTATACCGTCTCTAAGGTCTCTTGCGTTTCCACCACTGGCAGTTTTAAAATCCAACCCAAATAATCAACATCCTCCCCCCTCCTTATCCCAGTAGATCTTTAATAATGTCACCACTTGCTTAGGTTGACAGTATGACTGCTGGGCTGGAGCCTCCACACAGCACACAGGCAGCCGCAGCGTTTTCCGAATGCCTGGGCCGCCCTCATGCATCCCGTCTCCCACGTCCAGCTCACCTTGACTGACACATTGAAACACAAGCGCTCTCTTGTCTCCCAACATTTTCTCTGGGTTCTGGTTTGACGTGGTGACCTGAGTACACTCCACCTTTCCCCACCCACCAGACTTTAGCAATAAGAGTCAGGGTAAAAACTAAGAAAAAGGGAAGCCAGTCGCTGTTAAAACCCAAGCCGGGAAGTCTTGGTGGTCAAGCAGAGAACGAGAGGACTCCCCTTCCAGGGAGAGTGGCCCCGCAGACAGGAATGTATGGCCCTTTCCTGCTGGCCATGGGTGGGGTGTTGTCTGGGGCCTCTTGGCTTGTCCTTGGGCCTGCGGTGCCTCAGCTCACCTGGCAGGAATCCACCTTCCCGTGCAGGTAGCCGGCACACACCATCCTGTCCGTGAGCGAGTGGCCATATAGGCTGGCGCACAGGGCCTGGTCCAGCAGCTCCACGGTGGCTTTCTGCAGCATCTCCGGCTTGACCACTGTCCAGGATAGGGAGAGGCAGGTGTGGTGAGCATTCCAGGGCCCAGGGCAGCTGCCCTGAGCCAGGAGGCTGCAGAACAACCCCTCTTTGAGCCTCAGTTTCCCCGACAAAAGTAGCCCCATGTTAGAAAGCAGCAAAGCGTGAATGTCCACTGATAACCTCCCTCGCCCAGACAGCTGGGAAGCATCAGCGTAACACCCCAAGATTGGTTCCTCCCTCCCAGGACAGGGAAGCACCCTAAATCTCCATGGACAAAGGATTAAGAGGATCCCGCATAGACAGATCATGGGTGTCTTGCGCAGTCACGAGAAAAGGACGGGATGCAGCCATTTTCAACAAAATGGAGGGAATTTTAAAAAATCATGTGGCAGAACAAGTCAGAACGACAAACACTGGACATTCATGCAACATACAATACGACAGCATAAAGCACTTTCAAAAAGTGGTGGACTCCAGGGCCTCCCCATTGGCGCAGGGGTTGAGCGCTGGGCTGCGAAGCTGCCCGCAGCCTCTGCAGTGCTGGTTCGATCCCCGGCCACTGGGCGAGGGTCCCACATGGCGCGCAGACCTCTCCTGCCACCCGCTGCTCCCCTCAGCAGTGTGCTTTGGTCCTTCTGCCTGCTCTTCTCCCCGCTCTGGTTCTGGTGAATTCTCTCACCCTCCCGCGCTTCTGACTGTACCCAGTGCTTGTATAAATAAATAAATAAATCTTTAAAAAAAAGTGGTGGAGGGCCTCCCCTGTGGCGCAGCGGTTGAGCGCTGGGTTGCGAAGCTGCCGAAGCCTCTGCGACGCCGGTTCGATCCCCGGCTGCTCCCCGGTCACCGGAGGAGGGTCCCACATGGCGCGCAGACCTCTCCTGCCGCCTGCTGCTCCCCTCAGCAGTGTACTTCGGTCCTTCTGCCTGCTCTGCTCCCTGCTCTGGCTCTGGTGAATCCTCTCACCCTCCCGCACTTCTGACTGTACCCAGTGCTTGTATAAACAAAAAACAAACAAACAAATAAATAAATAAATAAAAACATGCCTCTATTAAAAAAAAAAAAAAAGTGGTGGACTCCAGCTGGACATCAACAGACATCCTCAGGCCTCTGAGGCTGAAGGGGAGCGGGGAGAGGGGCGAGGAGGCCCAAGGCAGGGGGATTGGAGGTAACACTTTTCTTTTTGATGCCCTAAAATAAACACTGAGGTCCCTGTGAGCCTCTGGTCACAACATTTTTGTTGATTTATCAATATCAATTGTTTTTTGTGTGTTTCTGTTTAAAGGGAAATACATTTTTTTAAAATTTCATTTATTTTTGTGTAGAGAACTGGGGTGTAGGCCAGAGATGTGGACGGGTGAGAGGATTCACCAGAGACAGAGTGGGGAGCAGAACAGGCAGACTGACTGAAATCCACTGCTGAGGGGAGCAGCGGGCGAGGCAGAGGTCTGCTGCGCCATGTGGGTAGCTCCCTGGCCGGGGATCAAACTCAGGCTGTAGGGGTGACAGCGCTGAGACTAACCCCTAGGCCACCAGGGAGGCCCTACAGGGAAGTCTTTATCTAGGGAAACTGCACGAAGGGTCTGGGGAAAGAGAAAGTGGCCAGCTGACCACAGATCCCAGGCACCAGCAGGGGAGGGGCGAGCACGGGGGAGGGGGACTGTGCCGACGGGTCTTGGTGCTAGTGGTGGTGGGATCGCTATGGGGACTGCACCTGAGAGGAGAACCCAATTACTGCCCCAAAATGGACAGCGATGTAAGAATATGAAAGGAACAAAATCCCCTTAACCTAACCCTAACCCTAAAAACAACAGGCCCCACCTTATTTAATATCCATCCCTGACTAAGACCGTGGAGCTCACGGCCAGCAGCACCTTAACTGCTGTTTTCTTTTCTTTTCTAAAAAAGATTTATTTATACAAGAACTGGGGTACAGAGGCGCAGGAGGGTGAGAGGATCCACCAGCGACAGGGCGGGGAGCAGAACAGGCAGACTGAGATACACCACTGAGGGGAGCAGCGGGCGAGGCAGGAGAGGTCTGCCGCGCCATGTGGGTATCTCCCTGGCCAGCGGGGAACCGAGCCGGCACTGCAGAGGCTGCGGACAGCTTCACAGCGCGGCGCTCAACCCGCTGGCCACCGGGGAGGCCCAACTGCTGTTTTCTTGTAACGCATGATTTCCTGGGCCTGGGGACACGGGCCAGTACTTCAGCTCGGGGGTCACGCCTCACAGCCAAATCTCCCGCAAAAATGCAAAACAAAGAAACACAAAGGAGCGGCGCACAGGCCCGAGCTGGGCACGGCTTTGCCTCTGGCCCGGGGCGGGCGGCGGCCCTCGGGCCCTGCTCTGGGCGCAGGTGGCTGAGGGGCGCGCGGCCTCCGCCGGGGGGACTCGGGGCCGCGGGGCGCGGGGGCACTCACGGAAGTCCTCCTTGAGGTAGCCCCAGCCCGAGATGAGGCACTTGCGCCCGGCGGGGAAGACGTGCGAGGCGGCGGGCAGGCACACGGGCTGCACGCGCCGGCCGAAGGGCAGCGGGGTGCGCAGCTGCAGCAGCGCCACGTCGAAGTCCGCGGTGTCCGCGTTGTAGGCGGGGTGCGGGATGATGCGCGCCACGCGCGCCCGCACGGTGCCCGCCTCGCCGCCGCTCAGGCGCGTGGTGCCCGCGTAGGCCACCCACTCGGCGGGGGCTGGGAACCTGCGGGGGGCGGGGCGGGGCGGGTGAGGCGGGAACACCAAGGGGCGCCCCCACGTCCAGGCGTCCGCACTCACAGTGCAACGGTGTCAAAAATCAAAACGATGCCTCCACCCCCAAAATGCGCACAATCATCAACATTTTGGGCAAACGCGGGCTCTGCGGGACCAGGGCGAGGCGGGGGCAGGAAGCGAACGGGGGGGGGGGGGGGGGGGGGGGCAACAGCGACGGATGTGAAAAACCTTTTCATGCCAGGTCGTGGAGACAGGTGGGGAATGCAAACCATCCGTGGTGAACAGATCGCCTCTTACTGGCTCACGCAGAGCACCCCAGCCCCGCCGGCTCTGCCAGGGGCTGGGGAGGGGGTCGGGCCGGATGAGACACTGTGCAGGGTGGACACACACTGGGCACGGCCTGCCCACTGCCGCAGTGGCTGGACTTAGCTTGTTAGCTGAGACCTTAAGCCCTGTGCCACCAGCGAGGCCCATTTTTGTTTTTTGATTGCATGTGTATCATGCATTGTTTTGCATTCATTTTTATGTTTTTATATGGCATGAAAATATTATGTGTGAGATGACTGTTTTTGGTGGTGACTTGCATTACCCCCCAAACGCACCCCCGTGTGACTGGACACCACGAGCCATTGTTGCAGATGTTCTGGGGTGTGATAGTGATGGTATGGGAGTGGGAGATTCTTTTTTTATGTAGATGCCTGCAGGAGACCTACAGGGGATGCTTTGTGGTGTTTGCTACTTAATTTCAAATGGTTTGGCAAAGTAATAATACAACCTATGTGTGCAGAGGTGCAGTATAGATGCCCATGTATGAAGACCAGAGAGAGGAAGGAATACAGCAAGGTATGAACACTTGTTGCAATCAGAGAGAAGAACGCAGTATTCACTGCACTATTTTTCATCTTAATATTAAATATCCCCATATTTACTATTAATATTGAATTAATATTTTAAACATAATATTTTCATATTTAATAAAATATTGGGAGAAATAAAACTTAAAATTATAACAACAACTCTTATTGCCCTAGTTAGTCATTGTTTATGGGCTCTCTGTCCCCCGGGCTGTCACTTTTGGGGCAGGGAAGTGGTCTCCCTGGAGATGACATGTTTCCTGCTGCCTCGACTTTTCGCCCAGGTCTCTTAGAGGGAAATGATTAAATAGCAATGCCTGGCACAGACAGAGGGTTCTAGAACCTTTCCCCCACCTTTTGGCCAGCTCCATTCCAGGCGGTCATTGTGTTAGTTAAAGATTCTGGCCACCCCCAACCACTGCAAAAAACCCTGATTCAGGGATGAGCTAAGAACTTGAACAGATTTCTCCAAAGAGGATATAAGCACAGGAAAAGACATTCAAGCCACCAAGAAAATACAAATGAAAACCACAGTGAGATCCTGCTTGGCACCCACCAAGCTGGCTAGAATCAAAAGCCAGCCAGTAACAAGTGTTGGCGAGGCTGTGGAGAAACAGAGCCCACATACGCTGCTGGTGGGAATAGGAACGAGCGCAGCAGCTGGCAGACAGTCCTGTGGCTCCTCTAAAAGTTTAATCATAGAAGTACCGTGTGATTGAGCAATTCCGCTTCTGGGCTTAGACACAAGGACATTGAAAAGAGGCACTCAGACAGATACTTGAATGTCCATGATCACAGCAGCCAGAAGGCAGGAACAACCAAGGGTCGGTGGAAGGATGAACACACAGGCAAGACGTGGCCCATCCACACACTGGAATATTCTTCAGCCTAAACAGGTTACAACGGGGATGGACCTGGAGGACGTGACTTTCAGGGAAACAAGCCAGACACAGGCCGTACACCGTGTGAGCCACCACAGGAGGCCCCGAGGAGTCACCTCCAGAGAGACAGGAGGGAGGTGGTGGCAGGGGCGGGGCGGGGAGGGGGTGTTAATGTGTGACAGGGACAGGTTTCTGTTTGGGAAGATAAGAAAGTTCTGGAGAGGGAGGGTGGGGATGCTTGCAGAACAGTGTGAGTGTGCTGAATGCCACTGAATGTTCACGGTTGGAAGGATAAATTTATATAATACGTACTTTGCCACAATCTTTAAAAAGGAAATGAGAAAAAGAATGTGTTCAGATTGAACCACAAGCAAAAAGAAAGAAAAGAAAAGAAAAAAACAAGTTCCAAGGGGCTCTGTGGACGCCACAGAGGAGAGGGAGGTGGGCGGCGGTGAGGCCGGGGCAGCCCCCGAGCCTGCGGGGCCGTGGCTCACTCATTGAAGCAGTGGGCGGCAGAGACCAGCCACCTCTTGCCCACGATGGCGGCCCCACAGAAGTGCTCATCGTTCTCCCGGAGGCTGACTTGCCAAGGGAACTCCCCCGGAGACGCCTCCACGCCGCCCACGATCCTGCTGGCTGTCCTCCAGCCAGGCTGCAGGCCACAGTCTGAAAGACAGAGATCACCGCCAGGCCCCCAGGAAGGCAGGGCCTCGGCCTGCGCTCCCTGCTGCCCGGCATGTCTGCAAGCACCAGGCACTTGGCCACGCATTGAAGGGCTGCCCAGCCGCCCCCGCTGTTTGAGTTCTGCACTTCTCAGGCCAGGTCCCGGCCAGCTCCTGGCAAGAAACCTCTAAGACCTTGGAATAAAACATCCATGTTTTCATCCACGCCTTTTGTGTCTCCCCCAAAGGTGCAGAAGTCCTCACCCCCAGTTCTCTGTGAATGAGCTTATTTGGAAATAGCGTCTTTGCGGATGATCAGATTAAGAGCTTATTTGCGGATGATCAGATTAAGACGAGGCCATGAGGGTGCGCCCTAAGTCCAAGGAGTGCCGTCCTTACAAAAAAGGGAAACTTGGACACAGACGTGCACAGAGAGAAAATCGCGAGAACATGCAGGCAGCGGCCAGGCTGATGCTTTTACGAGCCAAAGGGGAGCCAGGATTGCCAGTGACCCCAGAAGCGCAGAACAGATTCGCCCCCAGAGCCTCAGAAAGAACCCGTCCTGCCATATCCCCCCGATCTTGGACTTTCTGCCTCTGGGCTTGCGAGAGGATAGACTTCTGCTGGGTCAGCTGCCCCGTCTGAGGGGCAGGAAACTCATATACCAGGATGAGCCACAGAGCTGTGACCAGCCCCCGTGGGCGCCCTGGACCCGAGGCTTGGGTGCATTTCCCTGGCTGGAAATAGTCTGTATGTGTTGACTCCTTTTATGTCCTTCAGGAAAGTTTGATAATTATATGGAATTAACTTTACAGGTCATATACACATGACACCCATTCGTTGTAGACCCAGTGTGGGATTTTCCCTTATTTGCCTAACTTGTTATGACTTGGTTAAAGCGCAACAATAGCTTTCTATGTCTTGCTTTTTATCTTATCCTGACTTTACTGTTTAACTGTCTATTTTTTCTAAGAGCTTCTTAGCTGATTTGTGGATTCATGTTAGGTCAACTGCAAATAGAATTTTCTTCCCAATACTCAAGCTTCTCTTCTTGCTGTATTGCCTAGGGTAGCATTGCTGGGAAAATGTGGACTCCCCTTCTAGCATTTTAACTGTGAGATTCCCCTGCGCAGATTTGGTGGTTCCCACTGTGTGGGGAACAGAGCGCCAGGTGCTGGCATTTGGGATACCCACAGTGTGGCCAGCATCTCTCTTTCCAGCCTGATCCTCTCCTCTGCTCACTCATAGGTGCTCGACTCCACGCCCCCAGTGCAACTGGTCATGTTTCTCCCCATATTAAGGGAGCCCCTCCCTTTTCTGTGCAGTCCTAGGAGTGCCATGCGTGACTGCCAATTCTGGGGCGGCCTGAGAGCAGAGCACCCTGAGAGGGGATGTGGCCCACGGCGGGCCAGACAGGGACTGACCACAGTGGGCCTCATCAGAGCCGTCAGCGCAGTCCACTCTGTCGTCACACTCCGGGTTCACCTTGGTCACACACTGGCTGTCTTGGCAGAAGAAGGCGTTCTCCGGACAGTGACCTGAGGACAGAGAGAACTGAATCGGGACCCCACACCCACAGGGAGACCCCCCCTCTCCTTTCAGAGCCCCCAGAGTGTAGAAACAGCTAGGGTCGGTCTGCTCCCTTATCTCTATTTATTTATTTACGCATACAAGATCTGGGGTACAGGCCAGAGATGCAGGGTGTGAGAGGATTCACCAGAGACAGAGTGGGGAGCAGAACAGGCAGGTCAACTGAAACACACTGCTGAGGGGAGCAGCGGGGAGACAGGAGAGGTCTGCTGCACCATGTGGGTAGCTCCCTGGCAGGGGATTGAACTCATGCTGCAGAGGCTGCGGATTGCTTCATAGCGCGGTGCTTAAACCCTTGCGCCACCAGGGAGGCCCTCTCTGACTATTTCTGAGATTATTTTTCTCTGAGTTAGTGCAGAGACTTCTGTGAGAGTGTCTGTGAGTACTGAGGCCAGCCCCCTGCCGTGTGTGTGTGTGAACATCATGTAAATGTGTCACTGGACAGCAGGAATGCGGGGCTACTGTTGCAGACGAGTCCATCGCTCTCACGCAGCACATGGCCGCACCTCCAGATTTCTAGCATCCACATTTAAAAACAGTAAAAAAACACTGGTGTGATTGCATTTTTTAAAGTGTGAAAAAATCCACATAAATAAAAATCACCATTTTTTAAAAGATTTATTTATTTATACATACAAGAACTGGGGTGTAGACCAAAGGTGTGCAGGTGAGAGGTTTCACCAGAGACAGAATGGGGAGCAGAACAGTCAGATTGACCAAAGTACACTGCTGAGGGGAGCAGCGGGGAGACAGGAGAGGTCTGCAGCACCATGTGGGTCAGCTCCCTGGCCGGGGATCGAACTCGTGCTGCAGTGGCTGGCAATAGCTTGATAGACTTTAACCCCTGTGCCACCAGGGAGGCCCTAAAATTTACCATTTTCAGGTGCACAGTTCAGTGGCAGTAAGCACTCACACTGCTGTGTGGTCATCCCCGTGCTCCAGCTCCAGAACTTTCTCATCTTCCCCAACTGAAACTCTGCCCCCATTAAACACTAACTCCCTCCCTTCCCTCAGCCCCTGGCACCACCATCTACTCCTGATTCTATGATGTGACTCCTCTAGGGACCTCTTGAGAGTGGGTCACATAGCGTTTGTCCCTGTGTCTGGCTTGTTTCACTGAGCATCATGTCCGCCAGGACAAACCTCCAGGATTATCTACATTTTCGCACGAGTAAGAGAGCCCTTCCCCTTTAAGACTGAAGAATAGTCCATAGTCTGGATGGGCCACATTTTGTTTATCCAGAAATTCATTTGTAATAATATCTTTTTATTTAACCAAGAGACCTAAAATATTTTTATTTAACGTGCTGTCAATATAAAAAATGACCGGTGGGCGATCTTACGTTCTTTCCTCGTACCATGTCCTGTCTTCCGTGCAGGGTGAACAGTGTCAGCTGAGCTCACATCCCAGGGGTGCATTGATGCTCAAAGTCACAGGTGTGGGGGGACCCACCACCCAGTTTCCCTGGGGTGGAACTTGCAGTGCTAAAACCTGGACAGTCCTGGGCAGGCCAAGGCCCGTGACCAGCCTCCACACCCATATTAACTGTGTTTTTCATTTCCTGATGACTTGCCATCTGGGGTCTCGCTGACCCCAAAGGGATGACTCCCCCAGGGTGCCAGTTCCCACAGATGGTGAAAATCTCACCAGGAATGCACCTGTTTGTTTGTTTTTTTAAGATTGATTTATTTATACAAGAACTGGGGTAGAGGTCAGAGGCACGGGAGGGTGAGAGGATTCACCAGAGACAGGGCAGGTTGCAGAACAGGCAGATAACCAAAGACACTGCTGAGGGGAGCAGCAGGAGAGACAGGATAGGTCTGCCACACCATGTGGGTTTCTCCCTGGTCTGCTGGGAATTGAACCCGCGCTGCAGAGGCTGCGGACAGCTTCTTAGCGTGGCGCTCAACCCGCTGCGCCACCAGGGAGGCCCAGGAATGCACCTTTCAAACACACACTGGGTAACCAGAGCCCACCCCACTCCCTTCAGTCTTGGGGCTACTATCCCCCGCCACATCTCTATCACCCTAGGGCCAGGTGGGTGTCAAGCAACTAGGGAGCCCCTTCCACCCCAGAGCCCTCTGGAATCACTCACACCCGCCAGTCCTGGGCCTGCTCCCTCCCTGCCTGTTCCGCCCTGACACATCAAGCCCCGGGGAGAAGCTGGCCACGAGGGGGGCGGGGTGCTCGGGACAGAGCAAACCATACCTGATTTTGAGTCTCTCTCTGTCCACTGCCCCTGCCGGCTGCCTGGGAGGAAACGGAGAGACACACCCCATTGGAGGCGCAGAAAGGGCTTTGAAACTCTGCGTTTCCAAGCGGCGCCCCCACAGAAAGTCTGGCTCCGGTCAGCAGGGTCACCCCAAGTGGAATTCTGCTCCTTGGCCACATGTCAAGTGTCCGATGGCCACCTGGGGCTGGCGGCCACCTTGCTGGAAGGTGCAGAGAAGACGCGTTTCCACCACCCCAGGAGGCGCGTCAGGGCCCGAGTCCCGTCACTGAGCCGCGGGCGGCGTGGGCACCGGGGCTGGCTTGGGGGCGAGACGCTGATGTGGGGTCTGACCACAGTCTGGCCTCAGATCCCAACGCCGCACCTCAGAAGCCGTGAGCTTAGCGTCTCCTCATGTCTGCACGAGGGGTCGGCGGGTCACGGGCTCAGGCCCAACCGGCCACCACTCGCTCTGCGGTCCACACGAGCAGGTCTGAGCAGTGGCCACAGACCCAAAGGGCTGCGGGGAGGACAGTGTCCACAGCCCGGCCCTCACAGTGGGGGGCCTGGACCCCCGAGTTCTGCGCTGAGGGGGCTGCATAAGAAGGGGTGACACTGAGAAGTTAAGGTTGGATGCCACTTGAGTGCACCCGACTCCCCTCCCACGTCACGGCCCTCCGTCTCCTCCCCAGGCCCCTCAGTCTCTGTCACCCGCTCACCTTGGAGCTCCGCAGACAGGATGGTGCCGTAGGCGGCCAGAGCCAGGCCGCGCCCCTGCAGCCGAGCGCGGAGCCCCTCCTGCAACAGCCTCTCCTCCTCCTCCAGGCCCAGCCTCGGGCCCCAGGGCTCGGGAAACACAAAGTGCAGCCGGAAGTGCACCAGGACACTGGCGTTCCCGGCCCTGCGGTGGGGGAGAAACTTTGCAGAGGGAGGGCTCCTCTCTGCTGGAATCTTCTTGTGGTGTCTGCCAAGGTTCCTTCATCCCGAAGACGCCCCCAACTCACCTGTAGCTTAGCACCGTGCAGCTCACGCAGCTGGCCTCCAACTCTGTCTTCCAAAAGCTGCTTAAAAACTGCAAAGGAAGCCACACCAGCCAGTGCTGAGGCGCAGCAAGGATGGACCCGTCCCCACAGCCCGTTAGTCCCTCCGGCTCAGGCCTGCCAGGCAGACCCTGCTCCCATCTGCTCTGCACAGGGCATGGGGGCTCCTTTGGGTCAAAGCCATTGGCGGCCCACTTGGTCCCTTTTGCTCCTAGGAGCTCCCTTCCCACCCCCCAACGCAGGCCACGCTCACCAGCATTTCCAGGGCAGGCGTCAGCGTGCGGTGATACTCCGAGGCCTCCTGCTGCAAGCTGTGGGCGTAGCGGATCCCCTGTAGCTCAGCCGTGTGCTCCACGTCCACGCCCCGGGCAGACAAGGAGGCTGCAGATGAGACCAGGGCCTGGTGAGAGAGCCGGCCTGGGGCGCGGGCTCAACGCGCCAGGGACCCGGTCACGCTGACATGCAGGTGAGTGGGCTGACTCCCAGGGGTGAACAGTGCCTCCATTTGATTTGCACACCTCCTGGTCACCCACCCCAAGGCCCCTTTTCCGAGGGCAGGACCAGCCACCGCTCATCCTCATCTCACCTGGAGCGTGTGGCCCCAAAATGGTTGACGTGGCCTCAGGAGACCACTCCTCCACTTTGGTGAGCAACAGCTCCACCTCCTCCCTGGAAAGTGGGCACCAAATATGGCAGGAGGGGTGATGGCCGTCAGGAGCAGCAGGCCCCGGGACCATGCCCTCCACGAAAACCTACGTGTGTTTTTTTTTTGTTTTTTTTTTCTGTGGGACCCTCACCAGTGGCCGAGGATCGAACTGGCGCTGCAGAGGCTGCGGGCAGCCTCGCAACCCAGCGCTCAACTGCTGCGCCACCAGGGGAGGCCCCCTATTTTTTTTTTTTTCAAGATTTATTTATTTATACAAGAACCGGGCTACGGGCCAGATGCACGGGAGGGTGAGAGGATTCACCAGAGACAGAGCAGGGAACAGAATAGGCAGATTGATGAAACACACTGCTGAGGGGAGCAGCAGGTGAGCCAAGGGAGGTCTGCTGCGCCATGTGGGATTCTCGCCAGCTGGGATCGAACCTGCGCTGCAGAGGCTGCGGACAGCTTCACAGTGCAGCGCCCCCTGCCTGTGCCACCAGGGAGGCCCAAAAACCTACGTTTCTAGCTGTTAAGTGTATTTTGGGAATGAAACAGGCCCGCACACTAGCAAAAAATGATCATAATTGCAGGAGTAGCAGCTGCGTCAAGTGTGAAAGTCTCGTCCCAATCACAAATGTAAATGAGTATTTATCTACATAAAAACTTAAAAACTCATTAATTCAGTAGCTAGAAAAAAATTTCTGAATCAATTCCAACAATGGTTCGCTTCCCCATTCAAGAAACTAAAATTTTTTAAATGAGCCCCCACTGTGCAGACCAAATTGTTTATTACCTGAACCTCAATAGAACCTTTACGTTCCCCTTGAAATAATCAATGACTCTCTGGAAGCTGGAGAACAGCAGAGCCCGGGGGGTCTCCTTCAGCCTCCTGCAGCAATCTCAAGCTGTCTGGGGAGGGGATACCTTTAAATTTTAATTGAAAACTATTTTATTTTTATTTTATTTGTTTTTTAAAGATTTTATTTATTTATGCATACAAGAGCTGGGTGCAAGCCAAAGATGCGGGGTGTGAGAGGACTCACTAGAGACAGAGTGGGGAGCAGAACAGGCAGACTGACTGAAATACTGCTGAGGGGAGCAGCAGGTGAGGCAAGAGAGGTCTGCTGCGCCATGTGGGTTTCTCCCTGGCCGGCCGAGAATCAAACCGGCACTGCAGACGGTGTGGACAGCTACACAGCGCTGTGCTCAATTCGCTGTGCCACTGGGGAGGCCCTGTTAAGTGCTTCTTAACGCCTTTCTTGGTTTCAGGCATCCTGCCAGTAATCATATTTATCTGTTGTCTCCAAATTGCATCCTTGCTTCCAAAATGCAGATGTGAAACTCTGCCCCCGCCTGCCCCTAGCTCGAGGACACACATGTGCGCACGTGCTCACACACATGCACACACAGACACACAAGGCACTTACACACGGGCACAGAGAGATATGTGTGCATGCATGTATGCATGTACTTTGCACACGTGTGTATACTACACACATTCGCACACAGGCACAGGTTCATACACCTGTACCCAGGCACACACAGGAATGAACACACATGCACACACAGAGCCTGAATTTTCCTGCACTTGATGCCCATGGCCACTAGGAGGCGTCCGTCAGACATGCTGGGCTGTGGGATGCACTGATGTTCCACAAATACTTGTGTTTAATTTAATTAACAGGGCCCACATAAAAAGTCATTTTGCCACATGAAAGCACTTCCCCACATCTTGGACACCCCAAATAGAACTGTAGGAAACTTATCACCTCAGAATAAACCCTGCTCCAGGGCAACACTGCCCAAGCAGAGCTTGGGGATGCAGGGGATAGAATGTTCTAGATCTGTGCTGGGTACAGCAGCCAACAGCTACCCATGAAGCATGGCTATTGGGAACAGAGGACTTGAATTTTAATGTGATTTAATTTAATTTAATTTTTTAATTCCAAATAGCCACTGGGATGGAGAGTACCTTCCTGCCCTTGGACAGCGCTGGGCAGGGCAAACCTGGACACACCCTAATAGGGGAGGCGGGCAGGTAGGGCTGGCTCAGTGTCCTTGGGAGCTGGTCGCTGCGCTCGACAGTTGGAGGACAGATGGTGGGAGGAGAAAGGCAAATTCCAAATGATATAGAGAGTCCTCGATCACACAGGGTCCTTGCAAAACAGGACTGTGGTTTGGGCCTCCCCTGGTGGCGCAGGAGGTTGAGCGCTGGGCTGCAAAGCTGCCCGCAGCCTCTGCAGCACAGGTTTGATCCCGGCCGGCCGCAGAGATGCCCACATGGCACGGCAGACCTCTCCTGTCTCGCCCGCTGCTCCCCTCAGCAGTGTATTTCAGTCCGTCTGCCTGTTCTATTCCCCGCTCTGGCTCTGGTGAATCCTCTCACCCTCCCGCACCTCTGGCCTGTACCCTGGCTCTTGTATAAATAAATCAATCTTTTTTTTTTGTTTTATAATATTTTCTCTCTCTTTTTTAAAAAGATTTATCTATTTATTTATACAAGCACTGGGTACAGTCAGAAGCACGGGAGGGTGAGAGAATTCACCAGAGCCAGAAGGGAGAGCAGAGCAGGCAGACTGACAAAGTACACTGCTGAGGGGAGAGCGGCGGCAGGAGAGGTCTGCGCGCCATGTGGGACCCTCACCCTGTGGCTGGGGATCGAACCGGCGCCGCAGAGGCTGCGGGCAGCTTCGCAACCCAGCGCTCAACCGCTGCGCCACCGGGGAGGCCCTAAATAAGTCAATCTTAAAAAAAAAAAAAACAAGACTGTGGTTTACGGAGACACAGCAGCGTCACACACACCGTGGAGACACCCAGAGGGCATCGCCGCAGAGATGTCTGGGAAAGAGCGACGTGGGCTGCGGCCATCTGTGATGGCTGGTTTCACACTTTAAAAAAAGGGCAACTGTCTGAATAGATATGATTTATCCATGTGGTTCAAAATCAAAACCACCAAAGTGAAGATGGTGAAAGCCTCTTTCCCACGCCTGTTACTTGACCGTGCATTGGCCTGCCCTGGAGGCCACCAACTGACTAAGTTCTGAAATGTCCTGGAAAAGAATTTATGCACACAGTCAAGTGTGTTTTCCCTCTTCCCTCTCTTGCACCTCCTCTAGTCTCCGTAGATCATTCTATAGAGATATAAAAAGTGCTTCCTTTGCTTATTTTTATAACTGTAACCCCACATTGTATAGATGTGTCATCATTTTGTATAATGTATCTTAAATAATATAAATACATGCTGGAAGCAAATATGGAAGTGAGCCATTGTTGACTGTGGGTGTAGGGAAAGCAATGGTGTTCATTTTAGTACTTTTCAATTTTTCAAGATTAAAAAAAAGCCCATTTCAATGTTCCTAGAAGTCTCAATTTACCCCCGCCAAGAAAACGGCCTTAGAGAAGCCCTTCAGGTCTCAGAGAAGCCCTGTGTACTCTGAAACATGCAGAACCTCGATGGCAGGATCGCAACAGCTGTGCCTCCACCACCACCCACGGGAACAAAGTGGGGCCCCGCCGGGCACCTGGTCTTCTCGACTTGTCTGTGCAGATCCCTGAAGGGCCAGGCCAGCTTCAACCCCACACTGGGACACTCAGCCCTGTGGCTCTGGACCGTCCCTAGGACCCCACTGAGCCCCTTCTGAGTCTCTGTGCAAGTCCCCTGTGCAAGCCACTTACCCACAAGGAGCCCGAGGGTGGTGATGACCATGGCAGCAGCCACCAGAGCAGAGAGGGCCGCTCGGGAGCACACGGCGTCCTGCGTGGAGGCTTCCTTTGCTGCGCTGGGCACGAGCTGTAAGTCACCAACAGAGGGCGCCATGGCTCCAGCCTCAGGACAGCCCCTAGATGCCAGCAAAGCAGGGGCAGGAAGCCAGGTCAGAGGTGGAGGGCAGATGTCTTCTCCTAAACAAGGGTCTTATTTGTACAGGTGTGACAGCCATCAACAGCCCCCTAATGCAGTCACTAAGAGTGGATTCGGATGATTACTGCTGGGCTGGCGCCCGTAGCCTCCCTGCGGTCAGTGGCATCTGCTAGAAAGGATGCGTATGTGTTTCCTGTGGCTGTTGTGACAGTTTACTGCAACCTAAGGTCTTGAAGGAGCACAGATTTATTATCTCACAGTTCTGGAGGTCAGAGTCTAAAATGGAGAACCATGTTCTTTCTAGAAGCTCCAGAAGGACCATCTCCTGCCTTTTCCAGCCCTTCTTCCATTCTCACAGCCAATGGGACAGCTCTTCCCATCTCTTTGACCCTCCTCTTCCCTCTATAAGGACCCTCATGAGGACACTGGGCCTTTGCCAGATGAGATGACAGGTTTACAGGCCCCGGGAACAGGACAGGGACATTATTCAGCCTGCTATTGAATAAAATTAGTTGATATAGAGAGTACAAGATTACCTGTTTCTAGCTCTGAAGCTCATGCATACCCTGGACTCTATGTGAGCATTCATAGTGCTGCTTGAGCAACCTCACCATATGGCGGCTGGCTTCCCCAGAACTGATAATCCAAGAGAGAGTCTCCAAGTTCTATAAATAGGAGGTCTACAAATAGGAGCGCCAGAGTTTGCCTAGGTGTGAAAATGAAAGTGGCCTTCTCCTCTGCCATGGCTTGTTCTCTGTGGAGCAGTGGACATATTCAGGTGGTCCACAAAAAACTTCATCTCTCCAAAATGGCTCACTAAGCACAGAGTTGTCCTAAGAGATGGAACAAATGCCTGCAGCTGAGTTCAAGATGGCGGCCACGCCTGACCTCCTGCTGTTCCCCTCTTTCCACGAGTGTGACTGGGTCTGTGACATGCTTCGAACCAACAGACTAGGACAAAGGAGGTAGCTTGTCTGATTACGTGCATGTAATTATGTTACATCAGATTATAATGCTTATCTTGTTAAAAGGCAACAAGGGAGAGACTAGGGCTTGGATGAGTCAGGCAGCCATGTTGGGAGGCCCTTAAGCCAAAGAGAGGAAGGTGGGCTTCAGCCTCCAGCTGGAAAGGAAAGGAAGCCGTGAGTCCTGCAACCACAAGGAGCTGAACGCTGTCAACCTCCTTGTGAGCTTGGACGCAACTTCTTCACCAGTTGAGTCTTCAGATGAGAGAAAAGCCTCAGCTGACACTTGGCTTACAGTCTTGTGAGACCATCTGGGCAGAACACCCTGCAGACCTGTGCTGACCTCTGACCCACAGGAACTGAGTGGTGATAGATGCGTGTTGATATCAGCGGTTAAAATTTTAATAATATCATTTTGCAGTGCAAAAAGTGAATATAACACCATATCAACCATTAAACTCTTCCAAAGTCAATAGGGGCCTCCCTGGTGGTACAAGGGGTTAAGACGCAACATGTGAAGTTATCAGCAGCCACTGCAGCACGAGTTTGATCCCCCACCAGGGAGCTACCCACAGGGCACAGCAGACCTCTCCTGTCTCCCCGCTGCTCCCCTCAGCAGTGTATTTCTTCAGTCTGCCTGTTCTTCTCCCCACTCTGTCTCTGGTGAATCCTCTCACCACCCACCCCGCACCTCTGGCCTGTATCCCAGTTCTTGTACGCATAAATAAGTAATTTTTTTTTAAGTCAATCGTTGGCTTCATTTTTATAAGTCTAAAAAATATGAGCCATAGGCTGCTTCTCTGCATAACGGTGAAAGTTGGGTTTTTAAAGTCTCGTATTAGGAAAGCCGTAGGGTGTGATCTAACTGCCCAGGCCTCTAGCCTCCTCCCTCGTCCACGGGCAGAATGTGACACCTGCCTGCTCACTGCTGTTTGCCTCTGGGGTTCTTAGCTGCAAGACGGCAGAGCTTAGGAACGGGAACAAGCTAAGCCCCGTCACTTTGGCTTCTGAAATTTCTCAGTGTCAAGAGCCAACGAATTCTCTGAAGGTAATTGGTTTCTGCCACTTGCAACTAAAAGAACCCAAAGATAGAACATCACATTACCCCCAAAGCTGGGGAGTTCTCTTAGGCGCTCGAGACCCAGCAGATCTTCATGCCAAACACAACGTGTTCTCAGCCCACTGAGCAGCCCTTTTCTCCAGAAAGGATGAATCACCGTGATGTTTTCTGCAAAGGTAGATCTCATTACTTCCCCTCAGCCTCAGCTCCTAGGAAGGCAGCCTCCACCAAGTGGGTGGACAGTGATTCATACCTGGCCCCCAGCACATTTTTCCCATGAGAACACCATGGAAAAAGAAGCTGAAGGAACAATCCCATCCGCTTTCCCTTGACAAGGCTCCACAGTGGCACCCACTCAGCTGGTGCGTCCCTGGAGAGGAGGGAGCTGCTTTTGAGGTCTGTAGGGGTGAACAGCTGGCCTGGGTGTCAGAAAAAAATAGGACACCCAGTTGAATTTGACTCTCAGATAAGCAACACATTCTTCCGTACCTCAAGTGTGTCCCTGGGATGGTTAATTTTATGTGTCCACTTAGTGAGGCCATGGCACCCAGTTATTTGGTCAAATACCTTGTTGCTGTGAAGGTAATTTTCAGATGTGACTGACATCTAAATTAGTAGGTGTGGAGTAAAGCAGAGGATGCTTGTAGTGGGGGTGGGCCATGTCTAATCAGTTGAAGGTCTTCTGAAGAAGGAATTTTGCCTCCAGACTCCTTTTCCCTGGGTCTCCAGTTTGCCCTGCAGATTTTGGCCTCAGCAGCCCCCATAGTCATGTGAGCCAATTCCTTAAAATCTCCCCACTTTCATCCTAGTGGTTCTGTTTATCTGGAAAATCCTGACCAATACTAACAGAGTATACAGTAAGTATATAGATATGTCTGTGTGATATTTGGGACATTCTTTTTTTTAAGATTTATTTTATTTATTTATATATACAAGAACTGGGGTGTAGGACAGAGGTGAGGGGTTGAGAGGATTCACCAGAGACAGAGTGGGGAACAGAACAGGCAGATCTACTGAAATACACTGCAGAGGGGAGCAGCGGGCAAGACAGGAGAGGTCTGCTGTGCCATGTGGGTCAGCTCCCTGGCCTGCCGGGGGTTTGAACTCATGCCGTGCTGCAGTAGCTGCAGATAGCTTCATAGTGCTGCGACTTAACCCCTTGCACCACCAGGGAGCCTATTTGGGACATTCTTATACTAAAAAATTTTTGTTGTTTATTTGAAATTCTATTTTGCCTGAGTATGCTATATATTTATTGCTCAGTCTAGAACCCTACGCTAAAGTCCAGCCAGAACTTTCCAACCTTAGGGAAGTGTGTCCCTGCTGCACATGGTCCCCCTGAGCCTTACTGCCACCCTCTGGAGTTGGTGAAAAAGGGGAGATGCACCAGGGTGACCGGGAGAGCAGTCACCCAACACTTGGTCCTTTATTCTCACACTTGAGTGAATTGTCTTCAGCGGAGCCAGAGAATCTTTAAGAATCACTTGATGAAATGTTTTAGGGACAAAGACACCAAGATTCACTTCTGTGATTGGGGCTGGAAATTCAAATTTAGCATATGAGATCATCAACATCCCTCCTCCCCAAACACACACACTGTGCTCATTCAGCCTCGGCTGCCCCTGCTCCCCTCTGTCCGTGGGTTTTCTAAGGATTCCTGTGTTCTCTAAGTTGTCTTGTCATCACCATCATTAGGGCACAGAAGGGGCCCTGCTGCTATTTAGCTTGGAATATAGTGGCACTATTCATCCAGCTTCCCCTCCGTTTGTATTTATGACTGGCCAGGCCTGACTGTCCGGTGGGTACCCAACTCTGAAGGAGACAGATGTGATTCCCAGCTAACAGAGTTTAAATCCTTGAGGCAGGGACCCAAATACATTAAAATTACAGATACTATAAAGGCTCGGATGTGAATCCACGGGACTTTGAGTCTGCATAAAAAGGGGGTTTTGATCTAGACAGGTCAAGGGAGTTTGGCTGAGGAGGGTGTAAGTTGTCTGAGTTCTGAAGGATAAGTAGGAATTCAACAAGTATCCAGTGGAAGGGACTGATGTCCACACAGTAAGAACAAACACATAAGAGTTCTGTGGCAGAAGGGGGGAAGTAACAGTGTGCCTGTTGGCCACTGCTGTGGAACAAATGACCAGCAACACAGCAGCTCAATGCAATACCAACGTTGGAACTGGGAGTCAGGGTTCTGGCCTGGGTTAGTTGTTGCTCTGGGACTCACAAGGCTGTCTTTGCGGTGTCCGCTGGGCTGTGTTCTCATCCAAAGGCTCAACTGGGGAAGGATGTGCCTCCAAACTCCTGGTTATGGCATATCAGGGTTCTCAAATAGAACTAAAAATAGTTCTAAAAATAGAACTACCAGGTGAGCCAGCCATTCTGGGTGTTTATCTGAAAAATATGTGTCAGGACCACCCCATTCTCCATCCAGAGCCGCTGGGAGAAGCCAGCACCGAGAGCCCTCTGGACACACGCACCAGCCCTGGAGGACCTTCTAAAAGCACCGGTAGGACCTACTCAAGGCGAGCCCCCAGCCAAGAGCCCTGGCCCCCGCCTGACCTCTCAGCCCCTGTTGTCCCTGCGTTTTCCGTGATGGCCTGTCCTTCCCTCAGCTTTGGGACAGGACTCCTGCCTCAAGCTGTTTCGTTTCATTTCTGCTTTTTCAATGAGGTCTCTTGTTGAGCGCTTGTGACGGTTTATTAACTAAAAATACTTTGACTTTGTTTGTTTGTTTGTTTGCAAACAAACAGAAAATAACCAGTGTTACCCAGGACCTGGAGAAATCAGAAGCCGGTGGGCCTCCCCGGTGGCGCAGCGGTTGAGCGCTGGGTTGCGAAGCTGCCCGCAGCCTCTGCAGCGCCAGTTCGATCCCCGGCTGCTCCCCGGCCACCGGAGGAGGGTCCCACATGGCGCGCAGACCTCTCCTGCCGCCCGCTGCTCCC